GTAAGCTATAATTAAAATATGTCACATTAAAGTGTTTCATGCGCCCCTGATGAATAAAAAAACACTTTATATCAAGTATCTTTACTGCACCAGTGTGGGGAAATGCCAAAATAAAAGTCTCATATTTATGCCTCCAGAGATTGCATATTTGACCATATTTGAGCTACTGTAAAAACACATTGCTCAGTGTATCCTGGCTACTGATGGTATATTTGACTTTTACACATATGAAACTACAAACATACTTAATGTCAAGCATTTTTACTGTACCAATTTGGAGAAATTGGCCTTATGTAGTTGTCTAATTTTACATCCAACATTGGCAAACTGAAACCTTATCTAATGACACAATGTTTGAGAGGAAGCATTTTTACTTACTGCACTGTGCTCTCTGTATTAACAGGAACAAATTGTAAAGACGTTAAGTAAAAGTGAGAGCAATGTGTAGAGTTATTAAGAATTAAATATTGTGCAAGAACTTTGTTGAAATGTTTGATCTTTACCTGCTCCGTGTTGTCCGTATGCTCCAGTTGTAGGAGATTGATCTGAAGTCCTCTTTCTTCTGGTTTGTGAAATGAAAGAATATTTAAGTGAGCAAGCAAGTTCAGATTAATTGAATGTCATTGATCTTCAACAGAGCACGGTGTTCCTCACCTAATCCAGCAGAAGACAGTGAAAGGTATTATAACCAGGAGAACAGCTCCGACTCCTGCAGCTGCTGCTGGTGTCCATTTTCCTGTTTTACTGTGGACAGTGAGAGTCTTTTCACGAGAGCTGATGTTGTTGTGGGTTTTGACAGCACAGGAGTATCTTCCTGCATGCTGACTGCTGACTGGGTCTAGAACCAGGTGCTTGTTCTGGTTCTCTGGCAGGGTCAGAGGTCGACTGTTCAGGTACCAGATGTAGTTTGTGTTGTCAGTCAGAGGACAGCTGGTACTGCAGGTCAGTGTGACTCTCTGACCCTCTGTCACCACTGCAGAAGGAGTAAACTTCATTCTCAGGCCTGAAAGATGGTTAGATTGGTCAGTAAATTTAGAATTGACTTATTATCTAATAAGTGCTTTACAGTTAACAACAAAATACATTGTTCGTCTTCTAAAACATATTACCAAAAACACTCATATAAGTGTTTCCTGATCTGCCATCCCTATGTTTAGGTCTGGTTAAGCTTAGGCAACAAAACTATGGTATTTAGTTAAGTTTAGAGATAGGTCACCTTCATGCTACAACCCATCCCAACCTTAAGACATTAGAAAAATCTGTAGACTGAATGCAACTCTTCTAATTTAGAATGAGTCTTCAGCAGCTTGGTAGTATATGGTGTGGAAGTCAATAATCACTGTACAAAATGAATATGTTTAATCTAAAGACGACTTACCTGTGACTACCAAAGTCACTCCAGGAGAATCAGACCATCCTCCATTTTGTTGTTGGAGTCTGAATGTATATTCTGCTGAGTCATTCTTCTTCACCTTATTAATTCTCAGGATGTGTTGGTTCTTCATGTAGTCATAATACTTCACACGACCTGCAGCCTCAATCAGCTCTTTAACTTCTTCCTTCCCACTTCTTGTTATTTTAAACCAAGATTTAGACTGTTGCAGCTGGTTGTTGGGATAAGAATATTCACTTGTAATGTTCACTGAAGAGCCTTGTAGAGCACAGATTCTCCTGCTGACGTAATTCACAGTCCAACAGTTTCTATCATCAACACCTGAAATATAGATAAAAGCAAGAGGCAGTTTCACTTATAAGTAACTTAAACTTAGTTAAAAAAACATTTAAACAAAATTATTCTGTGGTAAGCAATGTCACCTTCGTGGTAATAAAATAAAAAATGAAATAAACATCTTATAAATCTGCAAATATTTCACAAGGGCCTATTACAAGTAACAACAGTGTTGGATCTATATCAAACGTATTTATTTTTGTAATCTAACAGGTGATTACTTGTTTACAATCCAAAATGAAAAGTATTTAAAATGAAATGATCAAATATCATTACTGTGTAATTATGTTGTATTGTATTTCATAAAACAAGGTGTCTACACAAATACCAACAATAGTATATGCATACTTTATAAGGCACAGTATTCAGCAGCAGAACCCCAGTAACAGAGACTGAAATACATTTAACAAGATGTTAGAATTATAACACTACAACTGCTGCCTCAAAATGAAAATCAAATTCAGTAATTTATAGCAACTGCATTATACTCTAATGCATTTCTGTTTATAACATCCTGTTATGTTTAAACATTATTAAAGTCATCATGTTTCTCATTATCTTTTCAAAATCACAACTGAGATCATAACACAAATGTTCTAACAGACATTGAGTTGGTTCATACTCACAGACTTCATCAGAGTGCAGATCCTCGAAACCTTTTACAGCACAGAAGATTGTGTCAATAGAAGTGTTGGGAACTACATACGGTGGTCTCTCGTGCTCTCTGTGTCCGTTCTTATACCACACAGTGGCAGTCAGAGGACAGCTGGTGTTACAGGTCAGACTGATATGGTCCTGATTGGCTGCAGGACTCCTGTTAACATGTACTTCTGTTGGGAGATGCCAAATATATATTTCATCCATTATTAAATACATGTTCAAATTGATTACAGAAATGATTAAATATTAACTCAAAGCATTGATAATCCATTAGGAGAGAATGTGTACGGTCAGTTATTGTGCTTGTGCTAAAAATGAGAAAAACAAAGAAAGCAAATATATATAACAGTGTGAAGTGTTTAGGAGGTGTGTTTGTGTGTTTGTTTGTGGAGACTTAACCTCTGGGATATGTGATGGAGCAGGGCTCATCCTCTGATGTCTGCTTATAAGAACACATTCTCCCTTTAGCATAGGTCACAGTAAAGCAGGTTGATGTGATAGAATCTGGACAAAAACAGAAATGTGAAATATTATTTAGAGTGGTGTACACAGTCACAGTACTTCATGAGCTTTGTAATTTAAGCTTCCAGTGCCTGATAATAACATTATTCCTATATGAGTAAAAATATGTATAAAGAGCTTTTGTCACATGATAAGAAGCTAAACGTTGTCACTCACCCACTGAGACTTCAGGGGCTCTGAGATCCTTGTAGCCTTTGATAGCACAGGAGTATCTGACTGCTTCCTCACTGCTGACCAGCTGTTGGTACCAGGGAGACCAGTCCTGATAGAGAAACTCTCTGTTCTTGTACCAGATGTAGGCTGCAGGGGTTTCAGTCAGAGGACAGCTGGTGTTACATATCAGTGTTACTGTCTGTCCCTCTGTGGCAGGAATCACCTTTACCTGCAGGTCTGGGAAGATGGAAAATGAAATGAGATTTCATATATATGTTGTTAAATTCTTAAAATATTGATTATTGACAACTTACTGTCAGTTTACCTGAAACATAGAGCTGATTTCTATTGTCCCAGCAGAGTTGTGGTTGGTCAGTATTCTCTCTGCAGCAGTAAAAGTTTGCATCACTCTCTCTCAGATCATTGATTGTTAGAGTTGGATGATTTTCTTCAGGCTTGTACATTACACGGTTTCCATCTACGGAGAGTTCATTCTGAACAACTGTAGATCCATTCCAGTGTGCAGTGTACCATTTCATGCTTGAAGTGGGATGTTCAGCTGAGCAGGGCAGATCCACTGATGAACCTTTTAAGGCACATATACTGTTTGTTTGTCCCCGAACCCCTTTAAGAGAAATATTTTATTAGCAAACATCTGGACAGATTCATACTTCTTATAACATTCTTCTCTATACTAATCACTAACTGATAATACTGTCTCATGCTGTAATGCATCTAAAGAACTCATAACAGCAGAATATTTGAAAATCTTCAGTCTGTAATTTCCTTTATATTTATCTAGAAATTTATCACCTACAGCACTGTACACTCCTGAAAAACATTTCATTTTTTTTTTTTTCAGGTCACAATTAATTAGTATTATATAAGAAAGAATAAACAGTCATTCATACCTGAGATGTACAGGATAAAACCCATAAACACACATCCAGCTTCTGCCAACAACATGGCTGTCGTAGTCTTCAGCTTCCAATCAGAAAGTTGATTTTATAATTTAATGACCTTATTACAACTGCTGTGTTAATGAAAACTCATAAAACATAAATAATTTAAATGAAAGGTCTAAATCAACAGCAGTCTTCTTACAGAGACAGAGTGGACTGTTGGTCAGTGTGAGGGCGGCTGACAGACAAACTGCATACAGCTCTGACACCTAAACGTCACTTCCTTCCTCATTATTATTCTTAGTAAAACAAGACCTGTAGTGAATAATCTATGTGGTGCAATAGTTATTATACGTCACGCTTTGACGGTGAAACATTTGCCATGGTGTTGTTTTTTTCATTTGCAGACTATTTTATCAAAATCATTATTATTGTTTTATTTTTTCAGTTTGTAATAAGTAATTGTCTCGACATGCTATACGCAGCAGGAGTGAATTTCATTATATTTTTATTCAAAAGTTATTTAAGTTGTCAGACTGAGAACAAAGAAATGTAAAACTGTGTGTGGTTGATTTGTGGTGGAAAAAAAAAAACTTCATTGAAAAGGAAACTGCAGACAAAATGTCTTTAATCTTTTAGTTCATCACATGCAGACAAGCACAAACACCTCAGATGTACAGGATCAAACCCCCCAAAAATCCTTGTGATCTGTTACGACGGACAGATTAGTAAAGACAGATCAATGCAATACTTTTTCACTAACACAGTCTTAGTAAATACATTTAAATGCTTCATATTTTAAATACTTTATTTATCTCTATTTGTAACAATGATTCACCTGCCACTAATGGAGCTTTCAAACTGTCTAATTCAACAATGAAAGTCATCAAAGAGTCAGATTTGTGACCTTTTTGCTATTGAAACTATGGAAACTGTTCTCAAAACATTTTTGTCAGTGTTCACACAGAGTTGCACGCTGCTCTCTACTCGCTTTTAGCTCTTCAGCAGCTTGTCCTCTTGCATCACACCTCTAGAGAAAGCTGGAGATAAGAAGCCTTTAAGTGCGACTGTGAACTCTGCATATCAGGCAGAACAGTTTCCCATTGCGCTCAACAGAGACGTATGTGCTTGCCGTTATGTTCACACTTTGCTTTACACTTGTCTGTCCCTGCTATGATACTGAAGTCATTTAAGCCACTAACACAGGAGGGCCCCTTGCAAAAAAAAACCATGAATTTGTTCAGTTAGAAGGCCCTGTCTGGATGGTGGAGTAGAGATCCTCTGTGTGGTCCTTAGAGAAGTGAAGTCTGCTATAGTGATGGTCATCCTGCTCTGTTGGTTGAGCTGAGATGTTTTCATACATGAGATCAGGGTTTATCTGAGGAGACAAGACAAATAAAATGACTTTACATCATATTGCATTGAAAGGTTTGGCTGATTTTCCTATCAGAGTAGTGTTTAGTAGCAGTAGTATAGTAGCATATAGTAATATTTATGATGGGTTCATTCAATCTGTGCAACAAAAAAATTATTTTATTGAAGGTTTTCCGATTGTTTCGAAACGATGGTGAACATCATGACTCGAATCCAGGAATTACAAAAAGCTGATATTGGCCTAATATATTGTAGAGACATTGATGTACAGTAGCTACTGAATCTGGACTGCAGTAAAAGAATAATTGTCCAAGATTCCTAGTGTGTCAATGTATAATACAATAATTCTTTATTTTGCTTAACAGATACTTATGATAATTAATTGTGTATACTTAACAAACAAAAACCTGAGAGAAAGTATGGAACAGTTTAGCAGGAACATGACCAGGTGCAGGAGATGAGCAAAACTGAAGAGAAGGCTACAGGATCAGAAGGTTGTGATTCAAGTGAGACAGAAAAGAAGCTGAGAGGGATAAGTTTAAGCTGCTGTCCTGACTGGAAGTAAATGGTCATTCCTGTTGAAGAGAAGAAGGAGAGAAGAGGATTATATTTTTCTAATGTAGAAGAATTGTTCCAGTTCTTTTCTTTACCTGCTCCATGTTGTGATGTGATGTTTCAGTTCTTGGAGGCTGGCTGGATGTCCTCTTTCGTCTAGTTTGTGAAATGAGTGAATATAAAAATGAATAGGTGATGTCAGGTCAGTGTGTCAATGAATGTGTGAAAGTCATTGCTCTAAAACAGAGCACAGTGCTGCTCACCTAATCCAGCAGAAGACAGTGAGAGGTATTATAACCAGGAGAACAGCTCCGACTCCTGCAGCTGCTGCTGGTGTCCATTTTCCTGTTTTACTGTGGACAGTGAGAGTCTTTTCACGAGAGCTGATGTTGTTGTGGGTTTTGACAGCACAGGAGTAGTTTCCTGCATGCTGACTGGGTCTAGAACCTTTTTTTTTTTGTAAAACAAGTAGCATGTAGTGAAGTAGTTTATAGTGCAGTAGTTAATTGATATAGTGACGTTCCGTCTTCGTGCAACATGCAGCAGCAGTAAATTACATCATATTTTTGACAAAACGTCTGGTTCTGTAGGAATATGTTTCCTACGGAGCTGAAGTTTGTTGCCATGCTTCTGGGAACTGCAGTACACAATGTTCTTTTTCTGTTCTTAACTACAACAGACAGAAAAAATAACATGTACGCATCAAGTCATATAAAACATTCAGCAAAAGCAACTGAGTCTTCATTCTGCTATTTAACAGTTGAGAGTCAGTCCTCCAGAGGGCGCTATCCTCACAGCACATGATGGTCATTGAGACTTATTTAGAGTACTATGCTGCTGACTGAGGCATCCCCATGCAGCTTGTAGCAGTGTACAGCACTTTATATTCCCATCACAAAGTTGCAGAGTGAGAGCAGAGAGATGTGAAGCATTATGGTGTTTGTATTGAAGGAAACTTCACTCTAAGTATAATGTCTATGATATTTTAATACACTGCAGGTTAGAACATGTTGAGAGCAATATCAGTTTTATAAAAGCTTTTTAACAATTACAGTTACAAATAAAATAACATAATAAAACATGAATAAGTCCCTAATAAAGCATTAAATGATTCAATGAGCTGACACCTGACGAAACCATCCCACATGTCTTGCTTTACATTGGGGTCTGTTTACTTCAGACAAAAGTTATCTGTACAGTAGGACAAGCTACTTAACCTGCCACTAATGTGGATAAAAAATTGTTTGATTTTGCCTTGACAGGACCAGTGAGGAACATTTGGGGGACTCCTGGAGGTCAAATGGTGGTGCAGAAGCCTTGGAATATGAAGAGTCTGGCCTATCAGGTAGAAATGTTCCCACAACGATCCACTGTGGTAGAGGCACTGATTAAAGATGAGTAAGTCCACTAAGTAGATCCTGAATCAGTTGTCTTGTTGGATCTAAAGCTGACAACAGCATAAGCAACATCCTCCTGTTCTTTGGGCTGACGTGGTTGGACGGTGGAGTAAAGAGGATCTGTCTGGGTTCTGGAGAAATGAACACTGCCATAGTGAAGTTCCTCCTGCTCTGCTGGTGGAGCTGAGATGTTTACATGCAAAGGACCAGGGTTTAGCTGATGAGGGGAAAAGAGAAATTTTAGTTTTTTGGGGTTTTTCCCATTGTGAAACACTCTATACTAAAAACTAGACGGATGAAATCTTGATAAAACAGAAAAGAATTGTGTATAGACCATCTCATTTTATTACAGTTTTTACAGTTATTAAATCAAATTAACTCTCATCATATCAGTAGTTAATGACAGGACTGATGCATATCGGTCCGTGTATGTTTTGGTCATTGGATTTTCCTTTCAGAAACGAGTATTAAAAAACAGAAAACGAGTGGTTATTTGATTTTCATTTTAAAATACAAAAATTAAAATTGAAATACAAGGCGTTTTTCTTTTTCATGGTCAGAAAGGGATGAGCGAAATTTAAAAAATTATTCGATTTTCATTTTCTATTTCATATAACAAAAAATAAAATCACTAGAAAACAGAAACGGAAAAAAGGCCTGTTTTTTCATATTCTGAGACCGGATGTTGTCATCAACAGGACGGTGCTGTGTAGAAGAAACAGTAGGCTAGTGGACGGCGGTCAATCCAGCCGTGAGTCCGATCTCCTTGGTCAAGTCAGCCGCACTTAAATTTAGAGTGTACAAGTATTCTCAGCATTATGGTAAATGCGGAGAAACAGCATATTTACTTCCGGTTTTCAAAATAAAGGTATTTAGAACAGTAAGCTATAATTAAAATATGTCACATTAAAGTGTTTCATGTGCCCCTGATGAATAAAAAAACACTTTATATCAAGTATCTTTACTGCACCAGTGTGGGGAAATGCCAAAATAAAAGTCTCATATTTATGCCTCCAGAGATTGCATATTTGACCATATTTGAGCTACTGTAAAAACACATTGCTCAGTGTATCCTGGCTACTGATGGTATATTTGACTTTTACACATATGAAACTACAAACATACTTAATGTCAAGCATTTTTACTGTACCAATTTGGAGAAATTGGCCTTATGTAGTTGTCTAATTTTACATCCAACATTGGCAAACTGAAACCTTATCTAATGACACAATGTTTGAGAGGAAGCATTTTTACTTACTGCACTGTGCTCTCTGTATTAACAGGAACGAATTGTAAAGACGTTAAGTAAAAGTGAGAGCAATGTGTAGAGTTATTAAGAATTAAATATTGTGCAAGAACTTTGTTGAAATGTTTGATCTTTACCTGCTCCGTGTTGTCCGTTGCTCCAGTTGTAGGAGATTGATCTGAAGTCCTCTTTCTTCTGGTTTGTGAAATGAAAGAATATATAAGTGAGCAAGCAAGTTCAGATTAATTGAATGTCATTAATCTTCAACAGAGCACGGTGTTCCTCACCTAATCCAGCAGAAGACAGTGAGAGGTATTATAACCAGGAGAACAGCTCCGACTCCTGCAGCTGCTGCTGGTGTCCATTTTCCTGTTTTACTGTGGACAGTGAGAGTCTTTGCACGAGAGCTGATGTTGTTGTGGGTTTTGACAGCACAGGAGTAGTTTCCTGCATGCTGACTGCTGACTGGGTCTAGAACCAGGTGCTTGTTCTGGTTCTCTGGCAGGGTCAGAGGTCGACTGTTCAGGTACCAGATGTAGTTTGTGTTGTCAGTCAGAGGACAGCTGGTACTGCAGGTCAGTGTGACTCTCTGACCCTCTGTCACCACTGCAGAAGGAGTAAACTTCATTCTCAGGCCTGAAAGATGGTTAGATTGGTCAGTAAATTTAGAATTGACTTATTATCTAAAAGTGCTTTACAGTTAACAACAAAATACATTGTTCGTCTTCTAAAACATATTACCAAAAACATTCATATAAGTGTTTCCTGATCTGCCATCCCTATGTTTAGGTCTGGTTAAGCTTAGGCAACAAAACTATGGTGTTTAGTTAAGTTTAGAGATAGGTCACCTTCATGCTACAACCCATCCCAACCTTAAGACATTAGAAAAATCTGTAGACTGAATGCAACTCTTCTAATTTAGAACGAGTCTTCAGCAGCTTGGTAGTATATGGTGTGGAAGTCAATAATCACTGTACAAAATGAATATGTTTAATCTAAAGACGACTTACCTCTGACTACCAAAGTCACTCCAGGAGAATCCGACTGTTTCCATTCTCCATTTTGTTGTTGGAGTCTGAATGTGTATTCTGCTGAGTCATTCTTCTTCACCTTATTAATTCTCAGGATGTGTTGGTTCTTCATGTAGTCATAATACTCCACATGACCTGCAGCCTCAATCAGCTCTTTAACTTCTTCCTTCCCACTTCTTGTTATTTTAAACCAAGATTTAGACTGTGGCAGCTGGTGGTTGGGATAAGAATATTTACTTGAAATGTTCACTGAAGAGCCTTGCAGAGCACAGATTCTCCTGCTGACGTAATTCACAGTCCAACAGTTTCTATCATCAACACCTGAAATATAGATAAAAGCAAGAGGCAGTTTCACTTATAAGTAACTTAAACTTAATTAAAATAACATTTAAACAAAATTATTCTGTGGTAAGCAATGTCACCTTCGTGGTAATAAAATAAAAAATGAAATAAACATCTTATAAATCTGCGAATATTTCACAAGGGCCTATTACAAGTAACAACAGTGTTGGATCTATATCAAACGTATTTATTTTTGTAATCTAACAGATGATTACTTGTTTACAATCCAAAATGAAAAGTATTTAAAATGAAATGATCAAATATCATTACTGTGTAATTATGTTGTATTGTATTTCATAAAACAAGGTGTCTACACAAATACCAACAATAGTATATGCATACTTTATAAGGCACAGTATTCAGCAGCAGAACCCCAGTAACAGAGACTGAAATACATTTAACAAGATGTTAGAATTAAAACACTACAACTGCTGCCTCAAAATGAAAATCAAATTCAGTAATTTATAGCAACTGCATTATACTCTAATGCATTTCTGTTTATAACATCCTGTTACGTTTAAACATTATTAAAGTCATCATGTTTCTCATTATCTTTTCAAAATCACAACTGAGATCATAACACAAATGTTCTAACAGACATTGAGTTGGTTCATACTCACAGACTTCATCAGAGTGCAGATCCTCGAAACCTTTTACAGCACAGAAGATTGTGTCAATAGAAGTGTTGGGAACTACATACGGTGGTCTCTCGTGCTCTCTGTGTCCGTTCTTATACCACACAGTGGCAGTCAGAGGACAGCTGGTGTTACAGGTCAGACTGATATGGTCCTGATTGGCTGCAGGACTCCTGTTAACATGTACTTCTGTTGGGAGATGCCAAATATATTTTTCATCCATTATTAAATACATGTACAAATTGATTACAGAAATGATTAAATATAAACTCAAAGCATTGATAATCCATTAGGAGAGAATGTGTACGGTCAGTTATTGTGCTTGTGCTAAAAATGAGAAAAACAAAGAAAGCAAATATATATAACAGTGTGAAGTGTTTAGGAGGTGTGTTTGTGTGTTTGTTTGTGGAGACTTAACCTCTGGGATATGTGATGGAGCAGGGCTCATCCTCTGATGTCTGCTTATAAGAACACATTCTCCCTTTAGCATAGGTCACAGTAAAGCAGGTTGATGTGACAGAATCTGGACAAAAACAGAAATGTGAAACATTATTTAGAGTGATGTACACAGTCACAGTACTTCATGAGCTTTATAATTTAAGCTTCCAGTGCCTGATAATAACATTATTCCTATATGAGTAAAAATATGTATAAAGAGCTTTTGTCACATGATAAGAAGCTAAACGTTGTCACTCACCCACTGAGACTTCAGGGGCTCTGAGATCCTCGTAGCCTTTGATAGCACAGGAGTATCTGACTGCTTCCTCACTGCTGACCAGCTGTTGGTACCAGGAAGACCAGTCCTGATAGAGAAACTCTCCGTTCTTGTACCAGATGTAGGCTGCAGGGGTTTCAGTCAGAGGACAGCTGGTGCTACACATCAGTGTTACTGTCTGTCCCTCTGTGGCAGGAATCACCTTTACCTGCAGGTCTGGGAAGATGGAAAATGAAATGAGATTTCATATATATGTTGTTAAATTCTTAAAATATTGATTATTGACAACTTACTGTCAGTTTACCTGAAACATAGAGCTGATTTCTATTGTCCCAGCAGAGTTGTGGTTGGTCAGTATTCTCTCTGCAGCAGTAAAAGTTTGCATCACTCTCTCTCAGATCATTGATTGTTAGAGTTGGATGATTTTCTTCAGGCTTGTACATTACACGGTTTCCATCTACAGAGAGTTCATTCTGAACAAGTGTAGATCCACTCCAGTGTGCAGTGTACCATTTCATGCTTGAAGTGGGATGTTCAGCTGAGCAGAGCAGATCCACTGATGAACCTTTTAAGGCACATATACTGTTTGTTCGTCCCTGAACCCCTTTAAGAGAAATATTTCATTAGCAAACATCTGGACAGATTTATACTTCTTATAACATTCTTCTCTATACTAATCACTAACTGATAATACTGTTTCATGCTGTAATGCATCGAAAGAACTCATAACAGCAGAATATTTGAAAATCTTCAGTCTGCAATTTCCTGTATATTTATCTACAATTTATCACCTACAGCACTGTACACTCCTGAAAAACATTCAATTTCTTTTTTTTTTTCAGGTCACAATTAATTAGTATTATATAAGAAATAATAAACAGTCATTCATACCTGAGATGTACAGGATAAAACCCATAAACGCACATCCAGCTTCTGCCAACAACATGGCTGTCGTAGTCTTCAGCTTCCAATCAGAAAGTTGATTTTATAATTTAATGACCTTATTACAACTGCTGTGTTAATGAAAACTCATAACACATAAATAATTTAAATGAAAGGTCTAAATCAACAGCAGTCTTCTTACAGAGACAGAGTGGACTGTTGGTCAGTGTGAGGGCGGCTGACAGACAAACTGCATACAGCTATGACACCTAAAAGTCACTTCCTTCCTCATTATTATTCTTAGTGACACAAGACCTGTAGTGAATAATCTATGTGGTGCAATAGTTATTATACGTCATGCTTTGACAATGAAACATTGCCATGGTGTTGTTTTTTTCATTTGCAGACTATTTTATCAAAATCATTATTATTGTTTTATTTTTGCAGTTTTATAATTAGTGAAATTAACGCAGCAGGAGTGAATTTCATTATATTTTTATTCAAAAGTTATTTAAGTTGTCAGACTGAGAACAAAGAAATGTAAAACTGTGTGGTTGATTTGTGGTGGAAAAAAATAACTTCATTGAAAAGGAAACTGCAGACAAAATGTCTTTAATCTTTTAGTTCATCACATGCAGACAAGCACAAACACCTCAGATGTACAGGATCAAACCCCCAAAAATCCTTGTGATCTGTTACGACGGACAGATTAGTAAAGACAGATCAATGCAATACTTTTTCACTAACACAGTCTTAGTAAATACATTTAAATGCTTCATATTTTAAATACTTTATTTATCTCTATTTGTAACAATGATTCACCTGCCACTAATGGAGCTTTCAAACTGTCTAATTCAACAATGAAAGTCATCAAAGAGTCAGATTTGTGACCTTTTTGCTATTGAAACTATGGAATCTGTTCTCAAAAGCTCTGGTTAAAGTTAATAATGACCTTCTGACTGCTTCTGACAATGGACTTGTCTCTGTACTTGTATTATTAGATCTTAGTGCTGCATTTGACACCATTGACCATGATATTCTTTTACAGAGACTTGAGCATCAAATTGGCATTAAAGGAACTGCCCTAACCTGGTTTAAGTCATACTTATCAGATCGTTCTCAGTTTGTACATGTTAACGATGAATCCTCCATAAATACTAAAGTTAGTCATGGAGTTCCACAAGGTTCTGTACTTGGACCAATACTATTTACTTTATATATGCTCCCTTTAGGCAACATTATTAAGAATCACTCCATTAACTTTCACTGTTATGCAGATGATACGCAGTTATATCTATCAATCAAACCCAATGAAATTAATCAATTATCTAAATTACAAACATGTCTTAAGGACATAAAATCCTGGATGACCTGCAATTTTCTGATGTTAAACTCAGAAAAAAACGAAATTCTTGTTCTTGGCCCCAAAAACCTTAGAGACTCATTGTCTAAAGATATAGTCACTCTAGATGGCATTAACTTGGCCTCTAGCACCACTGTCAGGAATCTTGGAGTTATCTTTGATCAGGATTTGTCATTTAACTCCCACATAAAGCAGACCTCTAGGACTGCCTTCTTTCATTTACGTAATATTAGAAAAATTAGACACATCCTATCACAGACAGATGCAGAAAAACTAATCCATGCATTTGTTACTTCAAGGCTGGATTACTGCAACTCTTTATTATCAGGTTGCCCCAATAAGTCCATTAAAACGCTCCAATTAATTCAGAACGCTGCAGCACGAGTACTGACAGGAACTAGAAAAAGAGATCACATCTCTCCTGTACTAGCTACTCTGCATTGGCTCCCTATAAAATGTAGAATTGAATTTAAAATACTCCTCCTCACCTATAAAGCTCTTCATGGTCAGGCCCCTTCATATCTTAAAGAGCTCATAGTACCCTATTGCCCCACTAGAACACTACGTTCTCTGAATGCTGGGCTACTTGTGGTTCCTATAGTCTCTAAAAGTAGAACAGGAGCCAGAGCCTTCAGTTACCAAGCTCCTCTCCTGTGGAACCAGCTTCCAGTTGTGGTTCGGGAGGCAGACACCCTCACCACATTCAAGAGTAGGCTTAAGACATTCCTCTTTGATAAAGCTTATAGTTAGGGCTGGATCAGGTGAGTCCTGAACCATCCCTTAGTTATGCTGCTATAGGCCTAGACTATCGGGGGATTTCCCATGGTGCACTGAGCTACTCTCTTCCTCTCTCTTTCTGCACTCATTCATGTCCCTTTAATGCATGTTACTAACTCCACTTCTTCCCCGGAGTTCTTGTGCTTTCTCGTCTCGCAGGTTCTCATGGATCCTGGTGGAGCCTCCTGCCATGGTCCTGCTTGACTGCCATTGCCAATACTGTTGTTGCTGTGCACCTGTCTGTCGCTCTCTCTCTCTCTCTCTCTCTCTCTCTCTCTCTCTCTCTCTCTCTCTCACCCCAACTGGTCGAGACAGACGACCACCCACCTAGAGCCGGAGGATCTGTCCTAGGTTTCTGCCTTTTAACAGGCAGTTTTTCCTTGCCCTTGTCGCCAAGTGCTTGCTCATGGTGGTACTGTTGGGTCTCTGTAATTAATGTTAAAGAGTTCGGTCTAGACCTGCTCTATTTGAAAAGTGTCCTGAGATAACTTCTGTTATGAATTGGCGCTATACAAATAAAATTGAATTGAATTGAATTGAATTGAAAACATTCTTGTCAGTGTTCACACAGAGTTGCACGCTGCTCTCTACTCGCTTTTAGCTCTTCAGCAGCTTGTCCACTTGCATCACACCTCTAGAGAAAGCTGGAGATAAGAAGCCTTTAAGTATGACTGTGAACTCTGCATATCTGGCAGAACAGTTTCCCATTGCGCTCAACAGAGACGTATGTGCTTGGCGTTATGTTCACACTTTGCTTTACACTTGTCTGTCCCTGCTATGATACTGAAGTCATTCCAGCCACTAAATCTAACACAGAAGGGCCCCTTGCAAAAAAAAACCATGAATTTGTTCAGTTAGAAGGCCCTGTCTGGATGGTGGAGTAGAGATCTTCTGTGTGGTCCTTAGAGAAGTGAAGTCTGCTATAGTGATGGTCATCCTGCTCTGTTGGTTGAGCTGAGATGTTTTCATACATGAGATCAGGGTTTATCTGAGGAGACAAGACAAATAAAATGACTTTACATCATATTGCATAGAAAGGTTTGGCTGATTTTCCTATCAGAGTAGTGTTTAGTAGCAGTAGTATAGTAGCATATAGTAATATTTATGATGGGTTCATTCAATCTGTGCAACAAAAAAATTATTTTATTGAAGGTTTTCCGATTGTTTCGAAACGATGGTGAACATCATGACTCGAATCCAGGAATTACAAAAAGCTGATATTGGCCTAATATATTGTACAGACATTGATGTACAGTAGCTACTGAATCTGGACTGCAGTAAAAGAATAATTGTCCAAGATTCCTAGTGTGTCAATGTATAATACAATAATTCTTTATTTTGCTTAACAGATACTTATGATAATTAATTGTGTATACTTAACAAACAAAAACCTGAGAGAAAGTATGGAACAGTTTAGCAGGAACATGACCAGGTGCAGGAGATGAGCAAAACTGAAGAGAAGGCTACAGGATCAGAAGGTTGTGATTCAAGTGAGACAGAAAAGAAGCTGAGAGGGATAAGTTTAAGCTGCTGTCCTGACTGGAAGTAAATGGTCATTCCTGTTGAAGAGAAGAAGGAGAGAAGAGGATTATATTTTTCTAATGTAGAAGAATTGTTCCAGTTCTTTTCTTTACCTGCTCCATGTTGTGATGTGATGTTTCAGTTCTTGGAGGCTGGCTGGATGTCCTCTTTCGTCTAGTTTGTGAAATGAGTGAATATAAAAATGAATAGGTGATGTCAGGTCAGTGTTTCAATGAATGTGTGAAAGTCATTGCTCTAAAACAGAGCACAGTGCTGCTCACCTAATCCACCAGAAGACAGTGAGAGGTATTATAACCAGGAGAACAGCTCCGACTCCTGCAGCTGCTGCTGGTGTCCATTTTCCTGTTTTACTGTGGACAGTGAGAGTCTTTTCACGAGAGCTGATGTTGTTGTGGGTTTTGACAGCACAGGAGTATCTTCCTGCATGCTGACTGCTGACTGGGTCTAGAACCAGGTGCTTGTTCTGGTTCTCTGGCAGGGTCAGAGGTCGACTGTTCAGGTACCAGATGTAGTTTGTGTTGTCAGTCAGAGGACAGCTGGTACTGCAGGTCAGTGTGACTCTCTGACCCTCTGTCACCACTGCAGAAGGAGTAAACTTCATTCTCAGGCCTGAAAGATGGTTAGATTGGTCAGTAAATTTAGAATTGACTTATTATCTAAAAGTGCTTTACAGTTATCAACAAAATACATTGTTCGTCTTCTAAAACATATTACCAAAAACATTCATATAAGTGTTTCCTGATCTGCCATCCCTATGTTTAGGTCTGGTTAAGCTTAGGCAACAAAACTATGGTATTATTTAAGTTTAGAGATAGGTCACCTTCATGCTACAACCCATCCCAACCTTAAGAAGACATTAGAAAAATCGGTAGACTGAATGCAACTCTTCTAATTTAGAACGAGTCTTCAGCAGCTTGGTAGTATATGGTGTGGAAGTCAATAATCACTGTACAAAATTAATTTGTTTAATCTAAAGACGACTTACCTGTGACTACCAAAGTCACTCCAGGAGAATCCGACTGTTTCCATTCTCCATTTTGTTGTTGGAGTCTGAATGTGTATTCTGCTGAGTCATTCTTCTTCAGGTTATTGATTCTCAGGATGTGTTGGTTCTTCATGTAGTCATAATACTCCACATGACCTGCAGCCTCAATCAGCTCTTTAACTTCTTCCTTCCCACTTCTTGTTATTTTAAACCAAGATTTAGACTGTGGCAGCTGGTAGTTGGGATAAGAATATTCACTTGTAATGTCCACTGAAGAGCCTTGTAGAGCACAGATTCTCCTGCTGACGTAATTCACAGTCCAACAGTTTCTATCATCAACACCTGAAATATAGATAAAAGCAAGAGGCAGTTTCACTTATAAGTAACTTAAACTTAATTAAAATAACATTTAAACAAAATTATTCTGTGGTAAGCAATGTCACCTTCGTGGAAATAAAATGAAAAATGAAATAAACGTCTTATAAATTTGCAAATATTTCACAAGGGCCTATTACAAGTAACAACAGTGTTGGATCTATATCAAACGTATTTATTTTTGTAATCTAACAGATGATTACTTGTTTACAATCCAAAATGAAAAGTATTTAAAATGAAATGATCAAATATCATTACTGTGTAATTATGTTGTATTGTATTTCATAAAACAAGGTGTCTACACAAATACCAACAATAGTATATGCATACTTTATAAGGCACAGTATTCAGCAGCAGAACCCCAGTAACAGAGACTGAAATACATTTAACAAGATGTTAGAATTAAAACACTACAACTGCTGCCTCAAAATGAAAATCAAATTCAGTCATTTATAGCAACTGCATTATACTCTAATGCATTTCTGTTTATAACATCCTGTTACGTTTAAACATTATTAAAGTCATCATGTTTCTCATTATCTTTTCAAAATCACAACTGAGATCATAACACAAATGTTCTAACAGACATTGAGTTGGTTCATACTCACAGACTTCATCAGAGTGCAGATCCTCGAAACCTTTTACAGCACAGAAGATTGTGTCAATAGAAGTGTTGGGAACTACATACAGTGGTCTCTCGTGCTCTCTGTGTCCGTTCTTATACCACACAGTGGCAGTCAGAGGACAGCTGGTGTTACAGGTCAGACTGATATGGTCCTGATTGGCTGCAGGACTCCTGTTAACATGTACTTCTGTTGGGAGATGCCAAATATATATTTCATCCATTATTAAATACATGTTCAAATTGATTACAGAAATGATTAAATATTAACTCAAAGCATTGATAATCCATTAGGAGAGAATGTGTACGGTCAGTTATTGTGCTTGTGCTAAAAATGAGAAAAACAAAGAAAGCAAATATATATAACAGTGTGAAGTGTTTAGGAGGTGTGTTTGTGTGTTTGTTTGTGGAGACTTAACCTCTGGGATATGTGATGGAGCAGGGCTCATCCTCTGATGTCTGCTTATAAGAACACATTCTCCCTTTAGCATAGGTCACAGTAAAGCAAGTTGATGTGACAGAATCTGGACAAAAACAGAAATGTGAAACATTATTTAGAGTGATGTACACAGTCAGAGTACTTCATGAGCTTTATAATTTAAGCTTCCAGTGCCTGATAATAACATTATTCCTATATGAGTAAAAATATGTATAAAGAGCTTTTGTCACATGATAAGAAGCTAAACGTTGTCACTCACCCACTGAGACTTCAGGGGCTCTGAGATCCTCGTAGCCTTTGATAGCACAGGAGTATCTGACTGCTTCCTCACTGCTGACCAGCTGTTGGTACCAGGAAGACCAGTCCTGATAGAGAAACTCTCCGTTCTTGTACCAGATGTAGGCTGCAGGGGGTTTCAGTCAGAGGACAGCTGGTGCTACACATCAGTGTTACTGTCTGTCCCTCTGTGGCAGGAATCACCTTTACCTGCAGGTCTGGGAAGATGGAAAATGAAATGAGATTTCATATATATGTTGTTAAATTCTTAAAATATTGATTATTGACAACTTACTGTCAGTTTACCTGAAACATAGAGCTGATTTCTATTGTCCCAGCAGAGTTGTGGTTGGTCAGTATTCTCTCTGCAGCAGTAAAAGTTTGCATCACTCTCTCTCAGATCATTGATTGTTAGAGTTGGATGATTTTCTTCAGGCTTGTACATTACACGGTTTCCATCTACAGAGAGTTCATTCTGAACAAGTGTAGATCCACTCCAGTGTGCAGTGTACCATTTCATGCTTGAAGTGGGATGTTCAGCTGAGCAGAGCAGATCCACTGATGAACCTTTTAAGGCACATATACTGTTTGTTCGTCCCTGAACCCCTTTAAGAGAAATATTTCATTAGCAAACATCTGGACAGATTTATACTTCTTATAACATTCTTCTCTATACTAATCACTAACTGATAATACTGTTTCATGCTGTAATGCTTCGAAAGAACTCATAACAGCAGAATATTTGAAAATCTTCAGTCTGCAATTTCCTGTATATTTATCTACAATTTATCACCTACAGCACTGTACACTCCTGAAAAACATTCAATTTCTTTTTTTTTTTCAGGTCACAATTAATTAGTATTATATAAGAAATAATAAACAGTCATTCATACCTGAGATGTACAGGATAAAACCCATAAACGCACATCCAGCTTCTGCCAACAACATGGCTGTCGTAGTCTTCAGCTTCCAATCAGAAAGTTGATTTTATAATTTAATGACCTTATTACAACTGCTGTGTTAATGAAAACTCATAACACATAAATGATTTAAATGAAAGGTCTAAATCAACAGCAGTCTTCTTACAGAGACAGAGTGGACTGTTGGTCAGTGTGAGGGCGGCTGACAGACAAACTGCATACAGCTATGACACCTAAAAGTCACTTCCTTCCTCATTATTATTCTTAGTGACACAAGACCTGTAGTGAATAATCTATGTGGTGCAATAGTTATTATACGTCATGCTTTGACAATGAAACATTGCCATGGTGTTGTTTTTTTCATTTGCAGACTATTTTATCAAAATCATTATTATTGTTTTATTTTTGCAGTTTTATAATTAGTGAAATTAACGCAGCAGGAGTGAATTTCATTATATTTTTATTCAAAAGTTATTTAAGTTGTCAGACTGAGAACAAAGAAATGTGAAACTGTGTGGTTGATTTGTGGTGGAAAAAAATAACTTCATTGAAAAGGAAACTGCAGACAAAATGTCTTTAATCTTTTAGTTCATCACATGCAGACAAGCACAAACACCTCAGATGTACAGGATCAAACCCCCAAAAATCCTTGTGATCTGTTACGACGGACAGATTAGTAAAGACAGATCAATGCAATACTTTTTCACTAACACAGTCTTAGTAAATACATTTAAATGCTTCATATTTTAAATAATTTATTTATCTCTATTTGTAACAATGATTCACCTGCCACTAATGGAGCTTTCAAACTGTCTAATTCAACAATGAAAGTCATCAAAGAGTCAGATTTGTGACCTTTTTGCTATTGAAACTATGGAATCTGTTCTCAAAAGCTCTGGTTAAAGTTAATAATGACCTTCTGACTGCTTCTGACAATGGACTTGTCTCTGTACTTGTATTATTAGATCTTAGTGCTGCATTTGACACCATTGACCATGATATTCTTTTACAGAGACTTGAGCATCAAATTGGCATTAAAGGAACTGCCCTAACCTGGTTTAAGTCATACTTATCAGATCGTTCTCAGTTTGTACATGTTAACGATGAATCCTCCATAAATACTAAAGTTAGTCATGGAGTTCCACAAGGTTCTGTACTTGGACCAATACTATTTACTTTATATATGCTCCCTTTAGGCAACATTATTAAGAATCACTCCATTAACTTTCACTGTTATGCAGATGATACGCAGTTATATCTATCAATCAAACCCAATGAAATTAATCAATTATCTAAATTACAAACATGTCTTAAGGACATAAAATCCTGGATGACCTGCAATTTTCTGATGTTAAACTCAGAAAAAAACGAAATTCTTGTTCTTGGCCCCAAAAACCTTAGAGACTCATTGTCTAAAGATATAGTCACTCTAGATGGCATTAACTTGGCCTCTAGCACCACTGTCAGGAATCTTGGAGTTATCTTTGATCAGGATTTGTCATTTAACTCCCACATAAAGCAGACCTCTAGGACTGCCTTCTTTCATTTACGTAATATTAGAAAAATTAGACACATCCTATCACAGACAGATGCAGAAAAACTAATCCATGCATTTGTTACTTCAAGGCTGGATTACTGCAACTCTTTATTATCAGGTTGCCCCAATAAGTCCATTAAAACGCTCCAATTAATTCAGAACGCTGCAGCACGAGTACTGACAGGAACTAGAAAAAGAGATCACATCTCTCCTGTACTAGCTACTCTGCATTGGCTCCCTATAAAATGTAGAATTGAATTTAAAATACTCCTCCTCACCTATAAAGCTCTTCATGGTCAGGCCCCTTCATATCTTAAAGAGCTCATAGTACCCTATTGCCCCACTAGAACACTACGTTCTCTGAATGCTGGGCTACTTGTGGTTCCTATAGTCTCTAAAAGTAGAACAGGAGCCAGAGCCTTCAGTTACCAAGCTCCTCTCCTGTGGAACCAGCTTCCAGTTGTGGTTCGGGAGGCAGACACCCTCACCACATTCAAGAGTAGGCTTAAGACATTCCTCTTTGATAAAGCTTATAGTTAGGGCTGGATCAGGTGAGTCCTGAACCATCCCTTAGTTATGCTGCTATAGGCCTAGACTATCGGGGGATTTCCCATGGTGCACTGAGCTACTCTCTTCCTCTCTCTTTCTGCACTCATTCATGTCCCTTTAATGCATGTTACTAACTCCACTTCTTCCCCGGAGTTCTTGTGCTTTCTCGTCTCGCAGGTTCTCATGGATCCTGGTGGAGCCTCCTGCCATGGTCCTGCTTGACTGCCATTGCCAATACTGTTGTTGCTGTGCACCTGTCTGTCGCTCTCTCTCTCTCTCTCTCTCTCTCTCTCTCTCTCTCTCTCTCTCTCTCACCCCAACTGGTCGAGACAGACGACCACCCACCTAGAGCCGGAGGATCTGTCCTAGGTTTCTGCCTTTTAACAGGCAGTTTTTCCTTGCCCTTGTCGCCAAGTGCTTGCTCATGGTGGTACTGTTGGGTCTCTGTAATTAATGTTAAAGAGTTCGGTCTAGACCTGCTCTATTTGAAAAGTGTCCTGAGATAACTTCTGTTATGAATTGGCGCTATACAAATAAAATTGAATTGAATTGAATTGAATTGAAAACATTCTTGTCAGTGTTCACACAGAGTTGCACGCTGCTCTCTACTCGCTTTTAGCTCTTCAGCAGCTTGTCCACTTGCATCACACCTCTAGAGAAAGCTGGAGATAAGAAGCCTTTAAGTATGACTGTGAACTCTGCATATCTGGCAGAACAGTTTCCCATTGCGCTCAACAGAGACGTATGTGCTTGGCGTTATGTTCACACTTTGCTTTACACTTGTCTGTCCCTGCTATGATACTGAAGTCATTCCAGCCACTAAATCTAACACAGAAGGGCCCCTTGCAAAAAAAAACCATGAATTTGTTCAGTTAGAAGGCCCTGTCTGGATGGTGGAGTAGAGATCTTCTGTGTGGTCCTTAGAGAAGTGAAGTCTGCTATAGTGATGGTCATCCTGCTCTGTTGGTTGAGCTGAGATGTTTTCATACATGAGATCAGGGTTTATCTGAGGAGACAAGACAAATAAAATGACTTTACATCATATTGCATAGAAAGGTTTGGCTGATTTTCCTATCAGAGTAGTGTTTAGTAGCAGTAGTATAGTAGCATATAGTAATATTTATGATGGGTTCATTCAATCTGTGCAACAAAAAAATTATTTTATTGAAGGTTTTCCGATTGTTTCGAAACGATGGTGAACATCATGACTCGAATCCAGGAATTACAAAAAGCTGATATTGGCCTAATATATTGTACAGACATTGATGTACAGTAGCTACTGAATCTGGACTGCAGTAAAAGAATAATTGTCCAAGATTCCTAGTGTGTCAATGTATAATACAATAATTCTTTATTTTGCTTAACAGATACTTATGATAATTAATTGTGTATACTTAACAAACAAAAACCTGAGAGAAAGTATGGAACAGTTTAGCAGGAACATGACCAGGTGCAGGAGATGAGCAAAACTGAAGAGAAGGCTACAGGATCAGAAGGTTGTGATTCAAGTGAGACAGAAAAGAAGCTGAGAGGGATAAGTTTAAGCTGCTGTCCTGACTGGAAGTAAATGGTCATTCCTGTTGAAGAGAAGAAGGAGAGAAGAGGATTATATTTTTCTAATGTAGAAGAATTGTTCCAGTTCTTTTCTTTACCTGCTCCATGTTGTGATGTGATGTTTCAGTTCTTGGAGGCTGGCTGGATGTCCTCTTTCGTCTAGTTTGTGAAATGAGTGAATATAAAAATGAATAGGTGATGTCAGGTCAGTGTTTCAATGAATGTGTGAAAGTCATTGCTCTAAAACAGAGCACAGTGCTGCTCACCTAATCCACCAGAAGACAGTGAGAGGTATTATAACCAGGAGAACAGCTCCGACTCCTGCAGCTGCTGCTGGTGTCCATTTTCCTGTTTTACTGTGGACAGTGAGAGTCTTTTCACGAGAGCTGATGTTGTTGTGGGTTTTGACAGCACAGGAGTATCTTCCTGCATGCTGACTGCTGACTGGGTCTAGAACCAGGTGCTTGTTCTGGTTCTCTGGCAGGGTCAGAGGTCGACTGTTCAGGTACCAGATGTAGTTTGTGTTGTCAGTCAGAGGACAGCTGGTACTGCAGGTCAGTGTGACTCTCTGACCCTCTGTCACCACTGCAGAAGGAGTAAACTTCATTCTCAGGCCTGAAAGATGGTTAGATTGGTCAGTAAATTTAGAATTGACTTATTATCTAAAAGTGCTTTACAGTTATCAACAAAATACATTGTTCGTCTTCTAAAACATATTACCAAAAACATTCATATAAGTGTTTCCTGATCTGCCATCCCTATGTTTAGGTCTGGTTAAGCTTAGGCAACAAAACTATGGTATTATTTAAGTTTAGAGATAGGTCACCTTCATGCTACAACCCATCCCAACCTTAAGAAGACATTAGAAAAATCGGTAGACTGAATGCAACTCTTCTAATTTAGAACGAGTCTTCAGCAGCTTGGTAGTATATGGTGTGGAAGTCAATAATCACTGTACAAAATTAATTTGTTTAATCTAAAGACGACTTACCTGTGACTACCAAAGTCACTCCAGGAGAATCCGACTGTTTCCATTCTCCATTTTGTTGTTGGAGTCTGAATGTGTATTCTGCTGAGTCATTCTTCTTCAGGTTATTGATTCTCAGGATGTGTTGGTTCTTCATGTAGTCATAATACTCCACATGACCTGCAGCCTCAATCAGCTCTTTAACTTCTTCCTTCCCACTTCTTGTTATTTTAAACCAAGATTTAGACTGTGGCAGCTGGTAGTTGGGATAAGAATATTCACTTGTAATGTCCACTGAAGAGCCTTGTAGAGCACAGATTCTCCTGCTGACGTAATTCACAGTCCAACAGTTTCTATCATCAACACCTGAAATATAGATAAAAGCAAGAGGCAGTTTCACTTATAAGTAACTTAAACTTAATTAAAATAACATTTAAACAAAATTATTCTGTGGTAAGCAATGTCACCTTCGTGGAAATAAAATGAAAAATGAAATAAACGTCTTATAAATTTGCAAATATTTCACAAGGGCCTATTACAAGTAACAACAGTGTTGGATCTATATCAAACGTATTTATTTTTGTAATCTAACAGATGATTACTTGTTTACAATCCAAAATGAAAAGTATTTAAAATGAAATGATCAAATATCATTACTGTGTAATTATGTTGTATTGTATTTCATAAAACAAGGTGTCTACACAAATACCAACAATAGTATATGCATACTTTATAAGGCACAGTATTCAGCAGCAGAACCCCAGTAACAGAGACTGAAATACATTTAACAAGATGTTAGAATTAAAACACTACAACTGCTGCCTCAAAATGAAAATCAAATTCAGTCATTTATAGCAACTGCATTATACTCTAATGCATTTCTGTTTATAACATCCTGTTACGTTTAAACATTATTAAAGTCATCATGTTTCTCATTATCTTTTCAAAATCACAACTGAGATCATAACACAAATGTTCTAACAGACATTGAGTTGGTTCATACTCACAGACTTCATCAGAGTGCAGATCCTCGAAACCTTTTACAGCACAGAAGATTGTGTCAATAGAAGTGTTGGGAACTACATACAGTGGTCTCTCGTGCTCTCTGTGTCCGTTCTTATACCACACAGTGGCAGTCAGAGGACAGCTGGTGTTACAGGTCAGACTGATATGGTCCTGATTGGCTGCAGGACTCCTGTTAACATGTACTTCTGTTGGGAGATGCCAAATATATATTTCATCCATTATTAAATACATGTTCAAATTGATTACAGAAATGATTAAATATTAACTCAAAGCATTGATAATCCATTAGGAGAGAATGTGTACGGTCAGTTATTGTGCTTGTGCTAAAAATGAGAAAAACAAAGAAAGCAAATATATATAACAGTGTGAAGTGTTTAGGAGGTGTGTTTGTGTGTTTGTTTGTGGAGACTTAACCTCTGGGATATGTGATGGAGCAGGGCTCATCCTCTGATGTCTGCTTATAAGAACACATTCTCCCTTTAGCATAGGTCACAGTAAAGCAAGTTGATGTGACAGAATCTGGACAAAAACAGAAATGTGAAACATTATTTAGAGTGATGTACACAGTCAGAGTACTTCATGAGCTTTATAATTTAAGCTTCCAGTGCCTGATAATAACATTATTCCTATATGAGTAAAAATATGTATAAAGAGCTTTTGTCACATGATAAGAAGCTAAACGTTGTCACTCACCCACTGAGACTTCAGGGGCTCTGAGATCCTCGTAGCCTTTGATAGCACAGGAGTATCTGACTGCTTCCTCACTGCTGACCAGCTGTTGGTACCAGGAAGACCAGTCCTGATAGAGAAACTCTCCGTTCTTGTACCAGATGTAGGCTGCAGGGGTTTCAGTCAGAGGACAGCTGGTGCTACACATCAGTGTTACTGTCTGTCCCTCTGTGGCAGGAATCACCTTTACCTGCAGGTCTGGGAAGATGGAAAATGAAATGAGATTTCATATATATGTTGTTAAATTCTTAAAATATTGATTATTGACAACTTACTGTCAGTTTACCTGAAACATAGAGCTGATTTCTATTGTCCCAGCAGAGTTGTGGTTGGTCAGTATTCTCTCTGCAGCAGTAAAAGTTTGCATCACTCTCTCTCAGATCATTGATTGTTAGAGTTGGATGATTTTCTTCAGGCTTGTACATTACACGGTTTCCATCTACAGAGAGTTCATTCTGAACAAGTGTAGATCCACTCCAGTGTGCAGTGTACCATTTCATGCTTGAAGTGGGATGTTCAGCTGAGCAGAGCAGATCCACTGATGAACCTTTTAAGGCACATATACTGTTTGTTCGTCCCTGAACCCCTTTAAGAGAAATATTTCATTAGCAAACATCTGGACAGATTTATACTTCTTATAACATTCTTCTCTATACTAATCACTAACTGATAATACTGTCTCATGCTGTAATGCATCGAAAGAACTCATAACAGCAGAATATTTGAAAATCTTCAGTCTGCAATTTCCTGTAATTTATCTACAATTTATCACCTACAGCACTGTACACTCCTGAAAAACATTCAATTTCTTTTTCAGGTCACAATTAATTAGTATTATATAAGAAAGAATAAACAGTAATTCATACCTGAGATGTACAGGATAAAACCCATAAACACACATCCAGCTTCTGCCAACAACATGGCTGTCGTAGTCTTCAACTTCCAATCAGAAAGTTGATTTTATAATTTAATGCCCTTATTACAACTGCTGTGTTAATGAAAACTCATAAAACATAAATAATTTAAATGAAAGGTCTAAATCAACAGCAGTCTTCTTACAGAGACAGAGTGGACTGTTGGTCAGTGTGAGGGCGGCTGACAGACAAACTGCATACAGCTATGACACCTAAAAGTCACTTCCTTCCTCATTATTATTCTTAGTGACACAAGACCTGTAGTGAATAATCTATGTGGTGCAATAGTTATTATACGTCATGCTTTGACAATGAAACATTGCCATGGTGTTGTTTTTTTCATTTGCAGACTATTTTATCAAAATCATTATTATTGTTTTATTTTTGCAGTTTTATAATTAGTGAAATTAACGCAGCAGGAGTGAATTTCATTATATTTTTATTCAAAAGTTATTTAAGTTGTCAGACTGAGAACAAAGAAATGTAAAACTGTGTGGTTGATTTGTGGTGGAAAAAAATAACTTCATTGAAAAGGAAACTGCAGACAAAATGTCTTTAATCTTTTAGTTCATCACATGCAGACAAGCACAAACACCTCAGATGTACAGGATCAAACCCCCCAAAAATCCTTGTGATCTGTTACGACGGACAGATTAGTAAAGACAGATCAATGCAATACTTTTTCACTAACACAGTCTTAGTAAATACATTTAAATGCTTCATATTTTAAATACTTTATTTATCTCTATTTGTAACAATGATTCACCTGCCACTAATGGAGCTTTCAAACTGTCTAATTCAACAATGAAAGTCATCAAAGAGTCAGATTTGTGACCTTTTTGCTATTGAAACTATGGAATCTGTTCTCAAAAGCTCTGGTTAAAGTTAATAATGACCTTCTGACTGCTTCTGACAATGGACTTGTCTCTGTACTTGTATTATTAGATCTTAGTGCTGCATTTGACACCATTGACCATGATATTCTTTTACAGAGACTTGAGCATCAAATTGGCATTAAAGGAACTGCCCTAACCTGGTTTAAGTCATACTTATCAGATCGTTCTCAGTTTGTACATGTTAACGATTAATCCTCCATAAATACTAAAGTTAGTCATGGAGTTCCACAAGGTTCTGTACTTGGACCAATACTATTTACTTTATATATGCTCCCTTTAGGCAACATTATTAGGAATCACTCCATTAACTTTCACTGTTATGCAGATGATACGCAGTTATATCTATCAATCAAACCCAATGAAATTAATCAATTATCTAAATTACAAACATGTCTTAAGGACATAAAATCCTGGATGACCTGCAATTTTCTGATGTTAAACTCAGAAAAAAACGAAATTCTTGTTCTTGGCCCCAAAAACCTTAGAGACTCATTGTCTAAAGATATAGTCACTCTAGATGGCATTAACTTGGCCTCTAGCACCACTGTCAGGAATCTTGGAGTTATCTTTGATCAGGATTTGTCATTTAACTCCCACATAAAGCAGACCTCTAGGACTGCCTTCTTTCATTTACGTAATATTAGAAAAATTAGACACATCCTATCACAGACAGATGCAGAAAAACTAATCCATGCATTTGTTACTTCAAGGCTGGATTACTGCAACTCTTTATTATCAGGTTGCCCCAATAAGTCCATTAAAACGCTCCAATTAATTCAGAACGCTGCAGCACGAGTACTGACAGGAACTAGAAAAAGAGATCACATCTCTCCTGTACTAGCTACTCTGCATTGGCTCCCTATAAAATGTAGAATTGAATTTAAAATACTCCTCCTCACCTATAAAGCTCTTCATGGTCAGGCCCCTTCATATCTTAAAGAGCTCATAGTACCCTATTACCCCACTAGAACACTACGTTCTCTGAATGCTGGGCTACTTGTGGTTCCTATAGTCTCTAAAAGTAGAACAGGAGCCAGAGCCTTCAGTTACCAAGCTCCTCTCCTGTGGAACCAGCTTCCAGTTGTGGTTCGGGAGGCAGACACCCTCACCACATTCAAGAGTAGGCTTAAGACATTCCTCTTTGATAAAGCTTATAGTTAGGGCTGGATCAGGTGAGTCCTGAACCATCCCTTAGTTATGCTGCTATAGGCCTAGACTATCGGGGGATTTCCCATGGTGCACTGAGCTACTCTCTTCCTCTCTCTTTCTGCACTCATTCATGTCCCTTTAATGCATGTTACTAACTCCACTTCTTCCCCGGAGTTCTTGTGCTTTCTCGTCTCGCAGGTTCTCATGGATCCTGGTGGAGCCTCCTGCCATGGTCCTGCTTGACTGCCATTGCCAATACTGTTGTTGCTGTGCACCTGTCTGTCGTCTCTCTCTCTCTCTCTCTCTCTCTCTCTCTCTCTCTCTCTCTCTCTCTCACCCCAACTGGTCGAGACAGACGACCACCCACCTAGAGCCGGAGGATCTGTCCTAGGTTTCTGCCTTTTAACAGGCAGTTTTTCCTTGCCCTTGTCGCCAAGTGCTTGCTCATGGTGGTACTGTTGGGTCTCTGTAATTAATGTTAAAGAGTTCGGTCTAGACCTGCTCTATTTGAAAAGTGTCCTGAGATAACTTCTGTTATGAATTGGCGCTATACAAATAAAATTGAATTGAATTGAATTGAATTGAAAACATTCTTGTCAGTGTTCACACAGAGTTGCACGCTGCTCTCTACTCGCTTTTAGCTCTTCAGCAGCTTGTCCACTTGCATCACACCTCTAGAGAAAGCTGGAGATAAGAAGCCTTTAAGTATGACTGTGAACTCTGCATATCTGGCAGAACAGTTTCCCATTGCGCTCAACAGAGACGTATGTGCTTGGCGTTATGTTCACACTTTGCTTTACACTTGTCTGTCCCTGCTATGATACTGAAGTCATTCCAGCCACTAAATCTAACACAGAAGGGCCCCTTGCAAAAAAAAACCCATGAATTTGTTCAGTTAGAAGGCCCTGTCTGGATGGTGGAGTAGAGATCTTCTGTGTGGTCCTTAGAGAAGTGAAGTCTGCTATAGTGATGGTCATCCTGCTCTGTTGGTTGAGCTGAGATGTTTTCATACATGAGATCAGGGTTTATCTGAGGAGACAAGACAAATAAAATGACTTTACATCATATTGCATAGAAAGGTTTGGCTGATTTTCCTATCAGAGTAGTGTTTAGTAGCAGTAGTATAGTAGCATATAGTAATATTTATGATGGGTTCATTCAATCTGTGCAACAAAAAAATTATTTTATTGAAGGTTTTCCGATTGTTTTGAAACGATGGTGAACATCATGACTCGAATCCAGGAATTACAAAAAGCTGATATTGGCCTAATATATTGTACAGACATTGATGTACAGTAGCTACTGAATCTGGACTGCAGTAAAAGAATAATTGTCCAAGATTCCTAGTGTGTCAATGTATAATACAATAATTCTTTATTTTGCTTAACAGATACTTATGATAATTAATTGTGTATACTTAACAAACAAAAACCTGAGAGAAAGTATGGAACAGTTTAGCAGGAACATGACCAGGTGCAGGAGATGAGCAAAACTGAAGAGAAGGCTACAGGATCAGAAGGTTGTGATTCAAGTGAGACAGAAAAGAAGCTGAGAGGGATAAGTTTAAGCTGCTGTCCTGACTGGAAGTAAATGGTCATTCCTGTTGAAGAGAAGAAGGAGAGAAGAGGATTATATTTTTCTAATGTAGAAGAATTGTTCCAGTTCTTTTCTTTACCTGCTCCATGTTGTGATGTGATGTTTCAGTTCTTGGAGGCTGGCTGGATGTCCTCTTTCGTCTAGTTTGTGAAATGAGTGAATATAAAAATGAATAGGTGATGTCAGGTCAGTGTTTCAATGAATGTGTGAAAGTCATTGCTCTAAAACAGAGCTCCCCAAAGGGTATAAGCTCTCCTGTTTACGGTTCAAGCTGATAAGTCTTCCTGCATGCGACGGGGGTACGTGGTTACTTATTTTTATTTGAATTGACTTATTATCTAAAAGTGCTTTACAGTTATCAACAAAATACATTGTTCGTCTTCTAAAACATATTACCAAAAACATTCATATAAGTGTTTCCTGATCTGCCATCCCTATGTTTAGGTCTGGTTAAGCTTAGGCAACAAAACTATGGTATTATTTAAGTTTAGAGATAGGTCACCTTCATGCTACAACCCATCCCAACCTTAAGAAGACATTAGAAAAATCGGTAGACTGAATGCAACTCTTCTAATTTAGAACGAGTCTTCAGCAGCTTGGTAGTATATGGTGTGGAAGTCAATAATCACTGTACAAAATTAATTTGTTTAATCTAAAGACGACTTACCTGTGACTACCAAAGTCACTCCAGGAGAATCCGACTGTTTCCATTCTCCATTTTGTTGTTGGAGTCTGAATGTGTATTCTGCTGAGTCATTCTTCTTCAGGTTATTGATTCTCAGGATGTGTTGGTTCTTCATGTAGTCATAATACTCCACATGACCTGCAGCCTCAATCAGCTCTTTAACTTCTTCCTTCCCACTTCTTGTTATTTTAAACCAAGATTTAGACTGTGGCAGCTGGTAGTTGGGATAAGAATATTCACTTGTAATGTCCACTGAAGAGCCTTGTAGAGCACAGATTCTCCTGCTGACGTAATTCACAGTCCAACAGTTTCTATCATCAACACCTGAAATATAGATAAAAGCAAGAGGCAGTTTCACTTATAAGTAACTTAAACTTAATTAAAATAACATTTAAACAAAATTATTCTGTGGTAAGCAATGTCACCTTCGTGGAAATAAAATGAAAAATGAAATAAACGTCTTATAAATTTGCAAATATTTCACAAGGGCCTATTACAAGTAACAACAGTGTTGGATCTATATCAAACGTATTTATTTTTGTAATCTAACAGATGATTACTTGTTTACAATCCAAAATGAAAAGTATTTAAAATGAAATGATCAAATATCATTACTGTGTAATTATGTTGTATTGTATTTCATAAAACAAGGTGTCTACACAAATACCAACAATAGTATATGCATACTTTATAAGGCACAGTATTCAGCAGCAGAACCCCAGTAACAGAGACTGAAATACATTTAACAAGATGTTAGAATTAAAACACTACAACTGCTGCCTCAAAATGAAAATCAAATTCAGTCATTTATAGCAACTGCATTATACTCTAATGCATTTCTGTTTATAACATCCTGTTACGTTTAAACATTATTAAAGTCATCATGTTTCTCATTATCTTTTCAAAATCACAACTGAGATCATAACACAAATGTTCTAACAGACATTGAGTTGGTTCATACTCACAGACTTCATCAGAGTGCAGATCCTCGAAACCTTTTACAGCACAGAAGATTGTGTCAATAGAAGTGTTGGGAACTACATAAGGTGGTCTCTCGTGCTCTCTGTGTCCGTTCTTATACCACACAGTGGCAGTCAGAGGACAGCTGGTGTTACAGGTCAGACTGATATGGTCCTGATTGGCTGCAGGACTCCTGTTAACATGTACTTCTGTTGGGAGATGCCAAATATATATTTCATCCATTATTAAATACATGTTCAAATTGATTACAGAAATGATTAAATATTAACTCAAAGCATTGATAATCCATTAGGAGAGAATGTGTACGGTCAGTTATTGTGCTTGTGCTAAAAATGAGAAAAACAAAGAAAGCAAATATATATAACAGTGTGAAGTGTTTAGGAGGTGTGTTTGTGTGTTTGTTTGTGGAGACTTAACCTCTGGGATATGTGATGGAGCAGGGCTCATCCTCTGATGTCTGCTTATAAGAACACATTCTCCCTTTAGCATAGGTCACAGTAAAGCAAGTTGATGTGACAGAATCTGGACAAAAACAGAAATGTGAAACATTATTTAGAGTGATGTACACAGTCAGAGTACTTCATGAGCTTTATAATTTAAGCTTCCAGTGCCTGATAATAACATTATTCCTATATGAGTAAAAATATGTATAAAGAGCTTTTGTCACATGATAAGAAGCTAAACGTTGTCACTCACCCACTGAGACTTCAGGGGCTCTGAGATCCTCGTAGCCTTTGATAGCACAGGAGTATCTGACTGCTTCCTCACTGCTGACCAGCTGTTGGTACCAGGAAGACCAGTCCTGATAGAGAAACTCTCCGTTCTTGTACCAGATGTAGGCTGCAGGGGTTTCAGTCAGAGGACAGCTGGTGCTACACATCAGTGTTACTGTCTGTCCCTCTGTGGCAGGAATCACCTTTACCTGCAGGTCTGGGAAGATGGAAAATGAAATGAGATTTCATATATATGTTGTTAAATTCTTAAAATATTGATTATTGACAACTTACTGTCAGTTTACCTGAAACATAGAGCTGATTTCTATTGTCTCAGCAGAGTTGTGGTTGGTCAGTATTCTCTCTGCAGCAGTAAAAGTTTGCATCACTCTCTCTCAGATCATTGATTGTTAGAGTTGGATGATTTTCTTCAGGCTTGTACATTACACGGTTTCCATCTACAGAGAGTTCATTCTGAACAAGTGTAGATCCACTCCAGTGTGCAGTGTACCATTTCATGCTTGAAGTGGGATGTTCAGCTGAGCAGAGCAGATCCACTGATGAACCTTTTAAGGCACATATACTGTTTGTTTGTCCCTGAACCCCTTTAAGAGAAATATTTTATTAGCAAACATCTGGACAGATTTATACTTCTTATAACATTCTTCTCTATACTAATCACTAACTGATAATACTGTCTCATGCTGTAATGCATCGAAAGAACTCATAACAGCAGAATATTTGAAAATCTTCAGTCTGTAATTTCCTTTAATTTATTTAGAAATTATCACCTACAACACTGTACACTCCTGAAAGATTTCTTTTTTTTTCAGGTCACAATCAATTAGTATTATATAAGAAAGAATAAACAGTCATTCATACCTGAGATGTACAGGATAAAACCCATAAACACACATCCAGCTTCTGCCAACAACATGGCTGTCGTAGTCTTCAGCTTCCAATCAGAAAGTTGATTTTATAAATTAATGACCTTATTACAACTGCTGTGTTAATGAAAACTCATAAAACATGAATAATTTATATGAAAGGTCTAAATCAACAGCAGTCTTCTTACAGAGACAGAGTGGACTGTTGGTCAGTGTGAGGGTGGCTGACAGACAAACTGCATACAGCTCTGACACCTAAAATTCACTTCCTTCCTCATTATTATTCTTAGTAAAACAAGACCTGTAGTGAAGAATCTATGTGGTGCAGTAGTTATTATACGTCACGCTTTGACAGTGAAAAATTTGCCATGGTGTTGTTTTTTTCATTTGCGGACTATTTTATCAAAATCATTATTATTGTTTTATTTTTTGCAGTTTTGTAATTAGTGACATTCTCTCTGCAATACGCAGCAGGAGTGAATTTCATTATATTTTTATTCAAAAGTTATTTAAGTTGTCAGACTGAGAACAAAGAAATGTAAAACTGTGTGTGGTTGATTTGTGGTGGAAAAAAAAAAACTTAATTGAAAAGGAAACTGCAGACAAAATGTCTTTAATCTTTTAGTTCATCACATGCAGACAAGCACAAACACCTCAGATGTACAGGATCAAACCCCCCAAAAAATCCTTGTGATCTGTTACAACGGACAGATTAGTAAAGACAGCTCAATGCAATACCTTTTCACTAACACAATCTTAGTAAATACATTTAAATGCTTCATATTTTAAATACTTTATTTATCTCTATTTGAAACAATGATTCACCTGCCACTAATGGAGCTTTCAAACTGTCTAATTCAACAATGAAAGTCATCAAAGAGTCTGATTTGTGACCTTTTTGCTATTAAAACTATGGAAACTGTTCTCAAAACATTTTTGTCAGTGTTCACACAGAGTTGCATGCTGCTCTCTACTCGCTTTTAGCTCTTCAGCAGCTTGTCCACTTGCATCACACCTCTAGAGAAAGCTGGAGATAAGAAGCTTTTAAGTGCGACTGTGAACTCTGCATATCAGGCAGAACAGTTTCCCATTGCGCTCAACAGAGACGTATGTGCTTGCCGTTATGTTCACACTTTGCTTTACACTTGTCTGTCCCTGCTATGATACTGAAGTCATTTAAGCCACTAACACAGGAGGGCCCCTTGCAAAAAAAAAACATGAATTTGTTCAGTTAGAAGGCCCTGTCTGGATGGTGGAGTAGAGATCCTCTGTGTGGTCCTTAGAGAAGTGAAGTCTGCTATAGTGATGGTCATCCTGCTCTGTTGGTTGAGCTGAGATGTTTTCATACATGAGATCAGGGTTTATCTGAGGAGACAAGACAAATAAAATGACTTTACATCATATTGCATTGAAAGGTTTGGCTGATTTTCCTATCAGAGTAGTGTTTAGTAGCAGTAGTATAGTAGCATATAGTAATATTTATGATGGGTTCATTCAATCTGTGCAACAAAAAAATTATTTTATTGAAGGTTTTCCGATTGTTTCGACATGATGGTGAACATCATGACTCGAATCCAGGAATTACAAAAAGCTGATATTGGCCTAATATATTGTACAGACATTGATGTACAGTAGCTACTGAATCTGGACTGCAGTAAAAGAATAATTGTCCAAGATTCCTAGTGTGTCAATGTATAATACAATAATTCTTTATTTTGCTTAACAGATACTTATGATAATTAATTGTGTATACTTAACAAACAAAAACCTGAGAGAAAGTATGGAACAGTTTAGCAGGAACATGACCAGGTGCAGGAGATGAGCAAAACTGAAGAGAAGGCTACAGGATCAGAAGGTTGTGATTCAAGTGAGACAGAAAAGAAGCTGAGAGGGATAAGTTTAAGCTGCTGTCCTGACTGGAAGTAAATGGTCATTCCTGTTGAAGAGAAGAAGGAGAGAAGAGGATTATATTTTTGTAATGTAGAAGAATTGTTCCAGTTCTTTTCTTTACCTGCTCCATGTTGTGATGTGATGTTTCAGTTCTTGGAGGCTGGCTGGATGTCCTCTTTTGCCTAGTTTGTGAAATGAGTGAATATAAAAATGAATAGGTGATGTCAGGTCAGTGTGTCAATGAATGTGTGAAAGTCATTGCTCTAAAACAGAGCACAGTGCTGCTCACCTAATCCAGCAGAAGACAGTGAGAGGTATTATAACCAGGAGAACAGCTCCGACTCCTGCAGCTGCTGCTGGTGTCCATTTTCCTGTTTTACTGTGGACAGTGAGAGTCTTTTCACGAGAGCTGATGGTATTGGGTTTAGTAGTTTCCTGCATGCTGACTGGGTCTAGAACCTTTTTTTTTTAGTAAAACAAGACCTGTAGTGAAGTAGTTTATAGTGCAGTAGTTAATTGATATAGTGACGTTACGTCTTCGTGCAACATGCAGCAGCAGTAAATTACATCATATTTTTGACAAAACGTCTGGTTCTGTAGGAATATGTTTCCTACGGAGCTGAAGTTTGTTGCCATGCTTCTGGGAACTGCAGTACACAATGTTCTTTTTCTGTTCTGAACTACAACAGACAGAAAAAATAACATGTACGCATCAAGTCATATAAAACATTCAGCAAAAGCAACTGAGTCTTCATTCTGCTATTTAACAGTTGAGAGTCAGTCCTCCAGAGGGCGCTATCCTCACAGCACATGATGGTCATTGAGACTTATTTAGAGTACTATGCTGCTGACTGAGGCATCCCCATGCAGCTTGTAGCAGTGTACAGCACTTTATATTCCCATCACAAAGTTGCAGAGTGAGAGCAGAGAGATGTGAAGCATTATGGTGTTTGTATTGAAGGAAACTTTACTCTAAGTATAATGTCTATGATATTTTAATACACTGCAGGTTAGAACATGTTGAGAGCAATATCAGTTTTATAAAAGCTTTTAAACAGTTACAGATACAAGTAAAATAATATAATAAAACATGAATAAGTCCCTAATAAAGCATTAAATGCTCCAATGAGCTGACACCTGATGAAACCATCCCACATGTCTTGCTTTACATTGGGGTCTGGAAGAGCCATTGATCAATTTACTTCAGACATAAGTTATCTGTACAGTAGGACAAGCTACTTAACCTGCCACTAATGTGGATTAAGAACTGTTTGATTTTGCCTTGACAGGACCAGTGAGGAACATTTGGGGGACTCCTGGAGGTCAAATGGTGGCGCAGAAGCCTTGGAATATGAAGAGTCTGGCTTATCAGGTAGAAATGTTCCCACAACGATCCACTGTGGTAGAGGCACTGATTAAAGATGAGTAAGTCCACTAAGTAGATCCTGAATCAGTTGTCTTGTTGGATCTAAAGCTGACAACAGCATAAGCAACATCCTCCTGTTCTTTGGGCTGAGGTGGTTGGACGGTGGAGTAAAGAGGATCTGTCTGGGTTCTGGAGAAATGAACGCTGCTATAGTGAAGTTCCTCCTGCTCTGCTGGTGGAGCTGAGATGTTTACATGCAAAGGACCAGGGTTTAGCTGATGAGGGGAAAAGACAAATTTTAGTTTTGGGGGGGTTTTTTTTCCATTGTCAAACACTCTATACTGAAAACTCGACAGATGAAATCTTGATAAAACTGAAAATAATTATGTATAGACCATCTAATTTTATTACAGTTTTTACAGTTATTAAATCAAATTAACTCTCATCATATCAGTAGTTAATGACAGGACTGATGCATATCCAACAAATAGCTGAATGACCTATTAATGTATTGGGTAACTAATGTAGTTGTCTAATTTTACATCCAACATTGGCAAACTGAAACCTTATCTAATGACACAACGTTTGAGAGGAAGCATTTTTACTTACTGCACTGTGCTCTCTGTATAAACAGGAACGAATTGTAAAGACGTTAAGTAAAAGTGAGAGCAATGTGTAGAGTTATTAAGAATTAAATATTGTGCAAGAACTTTGTTGACATGTTTGATCTTTACCTGCTCCATGTTGTCTGTTGCTCCAGTTGTAGGAGATTGATCTGAAGTCCTCTTTCTTCTGGTTTGTGAAGTGAAAGAATATTTAAATGAGCAAGCAAGTTCAAATTAATTGAATGTCATTGATCTTAAACAGAGCACAGTGTTGCTCACCTAATCCAGCAGAAGACAATGAGAGGTATTATAACCAGGAGAACAGCTCCGACTCCTGCAGCTGCTGCTGGTGTCCATTTTCCTGTTTTACTGTGGACAGTGAGAGTCTTTTCACGAGAGCTGATGTTGTTGTGGGTTTTGACAGCACAGGAGTAGTTTCCTGCATGCTGACTGCTGACTGGGTCTAGAACCAGGTGTTTGTTCTGGTTCTCTGGCAGGGTCAGAGGTCGACTGTTCAGGTACCAGATGTAGTTTGTGTTGTCAGTCAGAGGACAGCTGGTACTGCAGGTCAGTGTGACTCTCTGACCCTCTGTCACCACTGCAGAAGGAGTAAACTTCACTTCCAGACCTGAAAGATGGTGAGATTGGTCAGTCCTGAAAACTGAAACAAAACAGATTTAAAGGCCTCTAGCGGTGTGGTAGCGCAGTACAACTCTGTCACTTCACCCTCCCTTTCTAGACGCAAAGAAGAAACTACAGTGGCAGCGAAAACAACAACAAAATGTGAACACTGCTTTCTAGAGCCAGTGTTTGGTTTGTCTCTTCTGGACTACAATAGAAACATGGCAGTTCAACATGGTGGACTCCATGGAAGGCAACCCGTGGCGTCTGTGCATAAAAACGGCTCATTCTAATAAAACAACAATTTCTATATTCAATCCATTGTTGTGCACCAAAAAACCCAAAACTTTTTGAAGTGATCGAACAAATCTTGCTAGTTGTGTTCCACCTTTGCTACTGTGAGAGGACATCTTTTAATCAAAAGGAACAAAAAAAACAACAACTATTGACTGTGCTAATTTTTAAACCTGTAGGAAGAAGCATTTTCAGACTGCCCTTAGAAAAACTAAGTTTTAAGATCTCCATGAAATATCAACAAGAAAAAAAACACACAAAACCACTGTTTACAATGACACTGGTACCATGTGCATTGTATTCATTCTACAGAATTACCTGTGACTACCAAAGTCACTCCAGGAGAATCAGACTGTTTCCATTCTCCATTTTGTCGTTGGAGTCTGAATGTGTATTCTGCTGAGTCATTCTTCTCCAAGTTATTGATTCTCAGGATGTGTTGGTTCTTCATGTAGTCATAATACTCCACATGACCTGCAGGTTTAATCAGCTCTTTAACTTCTTTCTTCCCACTTCTTGTTATTTTAAACCAAGATTTAGAATGTGGCAGCTGGTTGTTGGGATAAGAATATTCACTTGAAATGTTCACTGAAGAGCCTTGTAGAGCACAAATTCTCCTGCTGATGTAATTCACAGTCCAGCAGTTCTGATCTTTGGTACCTGAAATATAGATAAAAGACAAACAGTATTTTTCTTAGGGTACATGTTGATGTTTGAATATAAATACTCACTGAATTATCAGCTAGTGCCTTTCGGTCTCAGTGTTTTTTAATTCAATCACTTCAGCCAATTTACAGAATGAAAAAAAAACACTTTTTTTCTTTTCCTGATATTAGGGACCATCAAAAATGGAAAATGATTGTGTGTTTTTCAGTTTTTGTCTTTAGAGAGATAAAGTAAGTCTATTTTGTTTCTATTTTGTGGATTTCCTCATTTCTTCACTGTCAGCATACACAGTAAGTCATAAGGGGACATCTAGTGGCCACAAGTCAACAACACAGTTTCATTAGTGATTTGATAGTCAGGAAAACAGGAAACACACACATTTTCTATTTCTAATGCACACAGAGAAAGAGTTATGAAATATCTACTTTTTCTACATAAACTGTACAGTGTTTGTGTTACTTTATACCCACAATCAGTCAGATATTTTATCTTGGCTTTCATGTGTTTAGAGTCATACTCTACAATACAACAGTTGTGGAATTGTTTACTCAACCAGATTTGTCCAATTTATACTTCCATCAACAGTTTTTTGGCAAGACAGTGCTCATGTTTTTTCTGAATGACTCTGATCCTACAGGGACATCTAGTGGCCACAAGTCATCAACACAGTTTCATTAGTGATGTGATAGTCAGGAATACAAGACACAAACTATTTTTCTATTTCTTAAGCCCACAGAGAAAGAGTGATGAAATATTTACTTTTATTTTATGTTGAATGAAAACATTTATTAAAAGGATGATACAAAAACTTTCTGTATTAAAAGAGTCATGAAATATTAACTGTGTTTTACCACTGCATTCATTATTTATACCTAGAATCATTCTTATTGCCTTTTATGTATTTAGAGTCATGAACCCAAAAGTCCTATAAGGTAAAAGAGAGATAGCACACAGTAGCCTTCCTTAAGATGTTCATACTCACAGACTTCAGCAGAGAGCAGATCCTCGAGGCCTTTTACAGCACAGGAGATGTTTTCAACAGAGGAAGGGGAATCTGACTGTTGACTCTCAGTCTTTATGTTTATGTATCCATCATGGTACCACCTATAGGCAGTCTGGGAGTCAGTCAGAGGACAGCTGGTGTGACAGGTCAGTGTGACATGGTTCTCTGCAGTCTTTTGAACATGTACTTCTGTTTGGAGTTAATAAATATAATATCATCAGTTATTGTAACATGTGGGTGTAATAATTAATTACATTAATTGTTGAATATAATTTCTCAAACCCTGGTTAGTACAAAAGAAGATAGGGCAAAGATATGACACTGAACAATAAGTGATCATTCTTACTCATTGCTTCTGTGAAAAAGACATTAGAGTTGTGAGGGTGAGAGGAATGTTTGTGTGTTTGTTTGTGGAGACTTAACCTCTGGGATATGTGATGGAGCAGGGCTCATCCTCTGATGTCTGCTTATAAGAACACATTCTCCCTTTAGCATAAGTCACAGTAAAGCAGGTTGATGTGATAGAATCTGGACAAAAGGAAATGCTTTCAGTTTTGGTCAATTTAGTAAATTCCTCATTGTATTTCAAAAGCTTTATTGAAGGTTGAAGTGCCTGATGAATAAAATTCTTCATGAAAGTATAAAGAGGTTTTGTCACATGATAAGAAGCTAAACGTTGTCACTCACCCACTGAGACTTCAGGGGCTCTGAGATCCTCGTAGCCTTTGATAGCACAGGAGTATCTGACTGCTTCCTCACTGCTGACCAGCTGTTGGTACCAGGGAGACCAGTCCTGATAGAGAAACTCTCCGTTCTTGTACCAGATGTAGGCTGCAGGGGTTTCAGTCAGAGGACAGCTGGTGCTACACATCAGTGTTACTGTCTGTCCCTCTGTGGCAGGAATCACCTTTACCTGCAGGTCTGAGAAAATGGAAAATGAAATGAGATTTCATATATATGTTGTTAAATTCTTAAAATATTGATTATTAATAATAAAAATTATTGACAACTAACTGTCAGTTTACCTGAAACAATGAGCTGAATTTTATTGTCCCAGCAGAGTTGTGGTTGGTCAGTATTCTCTCTGCAGCAGTAAAAGTTTGCATCACTCTCTCTCAGGTCATTGATTGTTAGAGCTGGATGATTTTCTTCAGGCTCGTACGTAATACGATTTCCATCTACAGAGAGTTCATTCTGAACAAGTGTAGATCCATTCCAGTGTGCAGTGTACCATTTCATGCTTGAAGTGGGATGTTTAGCTGAGCAGAGCAGATCCACTGATGAACCTTTTAAGGCACAGATGCTGTTTGTTTGTCCCTGAACACCTTTAACAGAATATTTTATTAGCAAACATCTGGACAGATTTGTACTTCTGTTGACATTCTTCTCTATACTAATCACTAACTGATAATACTGTCTCATGCTGTAATGCATCTAAAGTATCTCCCTTTAATTTATCGACAAATTAACTCCTACAGCACTGTACACTACTGAAAAACCTTCAATTTCTTTTCCAGGTCACAATTAATTAGTATTATATAAGAAAGAATAAACAGTCATTCATACCTGAGATGTACAGGATAAAACCCATAAACACACATCCAGCTTCTGCCAACAACATGGCTGTCGTAGTCTTCAGCTTCCAATCAGAAAGTTGATTTTATAATTTAATGACCTTATTACAACTGCTGTGTTAATGAAAACTCATAAAACATAAATAATTTAAATGAAAGGTCAAAATCAACAGCAGTCTTCTTACAGAGACAGAGTGGACTGTTGGTCAGTGTGAGGGTGACTGATAGACAAACTGCATGCATGTCTGGCACCTAAACTTCACTTCCTTCCTCATTATTATTCTCAGTAAAACAAGACCTGTAGTGAAGTAGTTTATGTGGTGCAGTAGTTATTTGAAAACGATGAATTTCCCTTCAGAGTAATGTTTCTCTCACTCCCTGATTATTATATCAAAAGTATTTTATCAGTTTTTATATAGTGACAGTGTGTCTTCATGCAACATGCAGCAATCGAAAATTGCATCATATTTATAACAAAGTATTGAATGAAAAGTTAAATTGTTATGTTGGTTTGTGGTCTAAAAGAAAACAAAATCATTGACTGTATTGTTATTTTTTCATTTTGTTTAAAAAAGCTTTATTGGAGAGAAAGCTACAGATAAAATGTCTATAATCTTTCAGTTCACCACATCACATGCAGAGCAACATGTATGTTTCATATATGGAAAGATTTTACAAATACTTTTTTATTATTTTATTCACTGCTGCAAGTCATCCAGAAAGTAACAGAACATTAAACACACTAGAAACAGTGACCAATTGCTGCAATGAGCTTTTCTGGCTCTTCTCTTCAAGTTTGTCGCCATGCTTCTGCTTGTGAATCTCAGTACTGTTATGAAACTTGTCGTCCACATTAGAGTGAACTGAAAGGGTGCTGAAGGTCAGAAGTCTTGAAGAGTGACAGTGAACTCTGGTATTTCAGGCAGAAAAGATTTCCCTTTGCGTTCAACAGAGAAATATGTGCTCACCTTTGTATTTGCACTTGTCTGTTACTGCTATTATATTGAAGTTATTACAGTCACTAAAACTAACAGGGAAAATAACATGACAATAAACATTTGTGTTTTTTATACCATAATTTAGACTGTGGCAGCTGCTGGTGGGGATAAGAATATTCACTTAAAATGTTCACTGCAGAGCCTTGTAGAGCACAGATTCTCCTGCTGACATATTTCAAGACCCAGCAGGTCTTATCTTCAGTACCTGAAATATAAATAAAATATACGTTTTTTTTAGGATAAATGATGTTCTATAATGTTTTAGATTGAATTGAATAATTGAATAAAAATATTTATTCATTTAATGTAGATTTGTGACACCAATATTCCTTAAGTTAAAACTGACCACACAGTACTTACATTAATGTGCTCAGCCTCGTGGCCTTTTACAGCACAGGAGAAGCTGTTATCAGAGGAGGGGGAACTGTTGACTCTCAGTGTATCTGTATTAGTGTCCATCATGGTACCACCGATTGGCAGTTTAGGAGTCAGTCAGAGTCCAGCTGGTTAGACAAGTCAGTTTGACATAGCTCTCTGCGGGAGTCTTTTGAACATATACCTCTGTGGGGAGAATGTACCTTCATCAGTTGATATAACATCTTAAAGTGCATAACGGGCGGCTGTGGCTCAGAGGCAGAGCGGGTCGTTCCCCGGCTCCTGGTGCCACATGTCAAAGTATCCTTGAGCAAGATACTGAACCCCAAATTGCTCCCGATGCCGTGCATCGGTGTGTGAATGTGTATGAATGTTAGTTTCTGTTCGATGGACTTTGCCATCACTGCGTGAATGTGTGTGAAAGAGTGAATGTGGCACGTAGTGTAAAACCGCTTTGAGTGGTCGGAAGACTAGAAAGGCGCTATACAAGTACAGGTCCATTTACCATTTACCATTACATAATTAATTAATTACAGGAATTGTTGAGTATAAACTCTCAAACTCTGGTTAGTACCCTGAAACCATGAAACCCTGAACTCACTGTGCCAATGAGGATGTAAGAATTGATTTGTTTTTCAAGAAAGCAAATATATGACACTGTGAACAGTTTAAATAAATGATAAATTAACTCACTTTAAAGGCATTAGAGGCATGAGGGTGAGATGAGTCTTCAGGCTGGGACTAACCCTTGAACGTGAGAAAACTGGAGCAAATTGGATAATGAACTTGTGGATAAACAACTTCCTGTTTCACAGCAAAAAATTCAACAAATGGCATGTCCATTTGAGAACTTTAGATCACACTAAGCCGATCAATGCTCTAGGAGGAGGTTGTTCATGTACAGTGCCTTTAAATAGCCAAAAATGACCACTAAATTAAAACTGGCCCACTTCCTGTTGGGTTGGTAAAAGTGCTCAGTGGTGCAGAGAAAGCGACCCATTTGATTGAGCAACTAATAAAACATCAGTTGTGCTAAATATCAACACTTCCTGACCTATTAACCCAGACTTTACAAGATTTGTTGGCCCCCATTAAAACATCACTAACAATATTCATTCAACAGATAGCAACTGAAGTACACAATGTTCTTTTTCTGTTTTGAGCTTAAACAGACACAAAAAATAACATGTACGCATCAGGTCATATAAAACATTCAGTAAAAGTAACAGAGTCCTCATTCTGCTCTGTAACAGTAACAGTAAGAGTCCGTCCTCCAGAGGGCGCTATCGTCACAGCACATGATGGTCGTTGAGTACTATGCTGCTATTTTCATGACAAGGTCGCAGTGTGAGAGCAGATAAATGTGAAGCATTACGGTGTTTGTATTGCGCAGAAGCCTTGGAATGTGAAAAGTCTAGCTTTTCAGGCAGAAACGTTCCCACAACACACCACTGTGGTTGTAGCACTGATTGAGATGAGTAAGTCCACTAAGTAAATCCTGAATCAGTTGTCTTGTTGGATCTAAAGATGACAGCAGCATAAGCAACATCCTCCTGTTCCTTGGGCTGACGTGGTTGGACGGTGGAGTAAAGAGGATCTGTCTGGGTCTTGGAGAAGTGGACTCTGCTATAGTGAAGTTCCTCCTGCTCTGCTGGTGGAGCTGAGATGTTTACATACAAAGGACCAGGATTTAGCTGATGAGGGGAAAAGACAATCAGACATCAGAGCCACTCCTCATCACATCATCTTCAGTCTCTAGTCTTTAATCTTCCTCCTTCGTCACCACCACCAGTGTCTAGACTCCATCGGGGGTCTACTACTATACTATTCACTGCTACACACCCCCTCTTTGAATATGACATCGTCAAGATGGGGTCTAATTACCAAAGACTTTTTACAATTCTCATCTGTTGTATCAAAAAAATAAATATATATATATATAGATAGATAGATACATACAGATATTGATATATGGATCTAAGTAGATGTCGATATAGATATAGATATATCTTCACTCAGAATGGGGTCTGTCCTGATTGAAATCCTATGGTCCTGTTATTTTACATTAAATATTGTGCAAGAACTTTGTTGAAATGTTTGATCTTTACCTGCTCCATGTTGTCCGTTGCTCCAGTTGTAGGAGATTGATCTGAAGTCCTCTTTCTTCTAGTTTGTGAAATGAAAGAATATTTAAATGAGCAAGCAAGTTCAGATTAATTTATTGTCATTAATCTTCAACAGAGCACAGTGTTGCTCACCTAATCCAGCAGAAGACAGTGAGAGGTATTATAACCAGGAGAACAGCTCCGACTCCTGCAGCTGCTGCTGATGTCCATTTTCCTGTTTTACTGTGGACAGTGAGAGTCTTTTCACGAGAGCTGATGTTGTTGTGGGTTTTGACAGCACAGGAGTAGTTTCCTGCATGCTGACTGCTGACTGGGTCTAGAACCAGGTGTTTGTTCTGGTTCTCTGGCAGGGTCAGAGGTCGACTGTTCAGGTACCAGATGTAGTTTGTGTTGTCAGTCAGAGGACAGCTGGTACTGCAGGTCAGTGTGACTGTCTGACCCTCTGTCACCACTGCAGAAGGAGTAAACTTCACTTTCAGACCTGAAAGATGGTTAGATTGGTCAGTAAATGTAGAAGAGTATCTCACAAGTCACAATATTTCCTGAAAGATGATTTAATATATCAGTAAATGTACCCAAACATAAAGGAGAAGTACTTATTATTGAACAAAACAATATGTTTTCTGTTATGCCACATTGAGGGGTAATTAAAGCAAATCAGTTAAATTTAGCCAACTAAAGATACATTATCACCTGTAAGTGGAGCTGAAGCAAAGACTTTTCATGTTTAAATTCCAACAAGAAAAAACACACACAAATGTTTACAATGACACTGGTACCATGTGCATTATATTCATTCTGCAGAATTACCTGTGACAACCAAAGTCACTCCAGGAGAATCAGACTGTTTCCATCCTCCATTTTGTTGTTGGAGTCTGAATGTGTATTCTGCTGAGTCATTCTTCTTCAGGTTATTGATTCTCAGGATGTGGTGATTCTTCATGTTGTCATAATACTCCACATGACCTGCAGGTTTAATCAGCTCTTTAACTTCTTGCTTCCCACTTCTTGTTATTTTAAACCAAGATTTAGACTGTGGCAGCTGGTGGTAGGGATAAGAATATTCACTTGAAATGTTCACTGAAGAGCCTTGTAGAGCACAGATTCTCCTACTGATGTAATTCACAATCCAGCAGTTGTTATCTCCAGCACCTGGAATATATAAACAGTAGTTTTTTTAGGATGAATGTTGAAGGTTTGATATCATTACTCATTGAATAATCAACAACTGTGTCTCAGTGTTTTTAGTTCATTAACTTCAGTCAATTTACAATATTGCAAAAAAAACAAAAAAACAAAATAGATTTTTTTTTTCTTTTCCAGATATTTGTGAAATCAAAAATGGAAACTATATATATTTTTTCTATTTTGTGGACTTCCTATCTCTGTGAGCTTATGCATCACGCCATAAACTGCTGAACCCATGTAATGAGTGGATGTGTGGATGTGTTTTTTCCAATTTCTAGTTTTATGAAACTTTTTTGTCAAGACAAAGCTCCTGCCTGTCCCAACTGACTCTACAAGGACATCTAATGGCTACAAGTCATCAACACAGTTTTAATTCAGGAAAACACATTGCACTTTTTTCTACTTCTACTCCCACAGAAAACAGGGTTATGAAACATTGAGTTTTTTTTTTTTATCGAATTGAATAATTTAATGAAAGGATTCACCCAATTAATGTAGATTTGTGACACCAAAGTTCCATAAGTTAAAACGACCACACAGTACGTTAATGTGTTCATACTCACAGACTTCAGCAGAGTGCAGATCCTCGAGGCCTTTTACAGCACAGGAGAAGCTTTGAACGGAGGAATGGGAAACTGACAACTGTTGACTGTCAATGTATCTGTATAAGTATCCATCTCTGTACCACCTATAGGCAGTTTGGGAGACAGTCAGAGGACAGCTGGTGCGACAGGTCAGTTTGACATAGGTCCATTCAGGAGTCTTTTGAACTTGTACTTCTGTTAGGAGAAAATGAATATACACTGAACAAAATTATAAACGCAACACTTTTGTTTTTGCCCCCATTCATCATGAGCTGAACTCAAAGATCTCAGACTTTCTCTATGTACACAAAAGGCAAATATTGTTCACAAATCTGTCAAAATCTGTGTTAGTGAGTACTTCTCCTTTGCCGAGATAATCCATCCACCTCACAGGTGTGGCATATCAAGATGCTGATCAGACAGCATAGATATTGCACAGGTGTGCCTTAGGCTGGCCACAATAAAAGGCCACTCGAAAATGTGCAGTTCCATCACACAGCACAATGCCACAGATGTCGCAAGTTTTGAGGGAAAGTGCAATTGGCATGCTGATTGCAAGAATGTCCACCAGAGCTGTTGCTCGTGAATTGAATGTTCATTTCTCTACCATCAGCCATCTCCAAAGGCTTTTCAGAGAATTTGGCAGTACATCCAACCGGCCTCACAACAACAGACCACGTGTAACCACACCAGCCCAGGACCTCCACATCCAGCATCTTCACCTCCAAGATCATCTGAGACCAGCCACCCGGACAGCTGCTGCAACAATCAGTTTGCATAACCAATGAATTTCTGCACAAACTGTCAGTGAACAATATTTGAGAAAAATAGGCCTTTTGTGTACATAAAGAAAGTCTTAGATCTTTGAGTTCAGCTCATGATGAATGGGGGCAAAAACAAAAGTGTTGCGTTTATAATTTTATTGTAACATGTTTCAGTGGATAACTTAATCAATAAATTACATGAATTGTTTATTATATACTCTCAAACCCTGGTTAGCACAAAAGCAATTATACAATTGTAATATCAATTAAAATAATACACTGTGCCAATGAGTAAGTCAAAACAGATTTGTTTTTCAAGAAAGCAATGATATGACAGTGTGAACAGTTAAAATACATTTTATTATTATTGATTTTACCAAAAAGTCCCATTGTGACAAAACATCTCTCACCAGAGACACCAGGTCGAGGTAGCAGGTGTATAAAACCACAACATATTAAGATACAACATGTATACCATGATATAAAAAAGAAATCCACAATAACACAGAAGAACAACTATTCCAACACAAAGACCTAAAAAACAACCACATGCATCCATTACCGAATTTTTCATGATGCGCTTCCATTCAATTGATATAACTGTGTCTAATTTTAGATCATCAAATGATTCTGTGAAAAATTAACATTAAAAGCATTAGAAGTGTGTGGGTGAGAGGATTGTTTGTGTGTTTATTTGTGGAAACTTAACCTCTGGGATATGTGATGGAGCAGGGCTCATCCTCTGATGTCTGCTTATAAGAACACATTCTCCCTTTAGCATAGGTCACAGTAAAGCAGGTTGATGTGACAGAATCTGGACAAAAAGAAATGTGAAACATTTAGACTGGTGTACACAGTCACAGTACTTCATAAGCTTTATAATTTAAGGTTCCAGTGCCTGGTAATAACATCATTCATGAAAGTATAAAGAGGTTTTGTCACATGATAAGAAGCTAAACATTATCACTCACCCACTGAGACTTCAGGGGCTCTGAGATCCTCGTAGCCTTTGATAGCACAGGAGTATCTGACTGCTTCCTCACTGCTGACCAGCTGTTGGTACCAGGGAGACCAGTCCTGATAGAGAAACTCTCCGTTCTTGTACCAGATGTAGGCTGCAGGGGTTTCAGTCAGAGGACAGCTGGTGCTACACATCAGTGTTACTGTCTGTCCCTCTGTGGCAGGAATCACCTTTACCTGCAGGTCTGAGATGATGGTGAGTAAAATAAGAATTAATATACTGATTTAATTCTTTAAGTTATTAATTACTGACAGCCATTGTACCTGTAACACGGAGTTGAATTTTATAGACCCAGCAGTGTTGTGGTCGATCAGTATTGTCTCTGCAGCAGTAAAAGTTTGCATCACTCTCTCTCAGATCATTGATTGTTAGAGTTGGATGACTTTCTTCAGGCTTGTACATTACACGATTTCCATCTGCAGAGAGTTCATTCTGTACAGATCCATTCCAGTGTACAGTGTACCATTTCATGCTTGAAGTGGGATGTTCAGCTGAGCAGGGCAGATTCACTGATGAACCTTTTAAGGCACAGATGCTGTTTGTTTGTCCCTGAACACCTTTAACAGAAAATCAAGACAGCACTTATGCTGGTATAGAATAGTTTATGGGCATTATTGTTACACATAAACAATCATTTTACAGGATTATTCATCAGATTTACAGGATGAAACCCATAAACACACATCCACATCTTTTAAAACATGGCTGTTGTAGTTCTTTGGATCCTAATGAGAACATTTTTGTATTGGCCTCATCACCACTGCATTCAAAAAATCAAAAAACCTAACCAGTGGTTAAAATCAACAGCAGCTGGCTTCCAACCTAAATGCTAAAGATGTAGTGTTGTTCAGTGTGAGGGCGGTTGACAGATGTTATGCAGCTTTCTTTCGAAAGAAACCACACTGAAGATTTCATATTCTATAGCACTTATATGATGCAATATTTTATCAGGAAAACCCAGTTTTAACTGCACAATATCAATTCTTTACTCTGTCTTTTAGAGTTATCATATTGTTAATTTTCATTATAAGAAAGCATAAACAGTTACTCCTACCTGAGATGTACAAGATGAAACCCACAAGCACACATCCAGCCTCTGCCAAAAACATGACTGTTAAGGTCTTTAAATTCTTAACAGCTGAATATATAAAAGCTCATCCAAAAAAGATGTCAGTCATTGGTGAAATCCAAAAGCAGTTCACTTTTACATAATGAAGGCTAATGACGACAGAATGGACTGTATTTGAGTGTTTAACACAGCATGCAAACAGCAAACTTCCTTCCTCTTATTATTTTAGTCACACTTCCTCATCCTCAGCCAAAATGGTTAAAATGTACTGGCCTTCATCAAAATGCAGCAGAATCAGGTGAACAGTTTTCTCTCTCCAGTACACCAGCGCTTAAACAGACGTATACAGAAAATAAATACATGTGTGCATCAACTGATATATATAATATGAAGTAGGAGCAGAAGACTCCTCATTCTGTGCTTTAGCAGTTGGGAGTGTGTCCTCCAGAGGGCGCTATCATTACAGCACATGATCTCAGCAGGAGCTTGTGCAGTCAGTACTGGGCTGCTGAGACATTTGGACACCATTTCTCAAAGCCTTGTGGGTGAATGTATTCAGTAATATTTTCCACTGTTTGCTGGTTAGCATATGTGATGCTGTACCCCCTAGAGCCCAGTTGATCCCCCTGCTCTATGTTGAGAAAAATCCACACATAATGTTAGAAAATGTACCTGTAACAGGTGCAATTGTGTGTGTGTGTGTGTGTGTGTGTGTGTGTGTGTGTGTGTGTGTGTGTGTGGGAGTTGGTTAATAGTTAACAGCCAACCATGGTTACTGCCTAAACATAAACAGTGCCCAGACATAATATAGTGAAGAAACAGGATTCCTCGACTAGTGAGACAAGGCCATGTTGTGTGACTATTATTACAGTATACTGTACTTAGGCAGGTCCATTATAATGAAGACAACACAATTCAAGTTTGTGTTATAGACAGACAAGTGTATTAATCACCTTCATTTCACCATGTCAATGACACTAAGTAAGATTGTAAGATTTAGGAGGATCTTTTGTCAGAAATGGAATATAATATTCATAGGTTTGTTTTCATTTGTGTTATCACCTCAAAATACTGTAGTTGTAAAGACTGTTGTATTGTCGTCAATTTTTATCTACAGAGGGAGCGGATCAACTGTCAAGTAACAGTAGCCTAGATAGGCTCTAGATATGGCCTTTTTGTTTTTTTCAAGCTTCGCAGCCACCGTAGTTTCTGCCCCACATTTGGAACGGAAGGGTGAGGGGAGTTACAATTAGCAAATACATCACTAGATGCCACTAATTCCTACACACTGGAACTTTAAATGTAGGAAACACAAGCCTGCTACTGTTTTGACTTGACTCAAGTGTTTTATCTTCAGTAAAATCCATTAGTGTGCTTGATAATCTCTAACAACACTGATAGATGACAGATAGATAGCAAGGGGTGACTGATTGTTTTCATACTGCTCTGTATGAAAAGACAAGCCTGTGTTAACCTGAGAACAAGGTTAATGCTTTACATGCATTAAAGGACCAGTGTGTAGGATTTAGTGGCATCGAGCGGTGAAGGCTCCGATTGCAACTAACTGAACGCTCCTCTCGTTGGGATTTGACGACCTGGGAATGAAAACTGTTTATACAGTTTATCAAGACCGCCTTTTATCAGGATTTCAAGGTGAACCTTAAAGGACTTAATAAAGAGGCCATATGATAACTTTTCGAGATAAACTGAGGTTTTATGATGTAATAATTTCTCCGAAGCCTTTTCAGAAGAATTGTTATGTATGCATCTAGATTGTGCGGTTCTGTATCATTATACCAAAGCATATACATGGGTATGCATAAAATATTATAGACAAGAAATTGTAATTTGAGAAATGTGCATTAATGGATTTCTTGGCGACTTGGGAGAAGTGGAACAAGCTGTAAACACAACATATTATCACCTGACCATATAAAGTTGATATGACAGACAGACTGACAGCGTATTTATACATGGACCAACATTAACATTCATGGGGAGTCAAAATGTAAGGTCAATATTCACTCTTCTTTTAGCTTTATTTTGCTCTCCACCTACTCATAAGGGAAATATATCCGGCTCTTTGATTGCTAAATGCTCCAATATGTCCACCAGCTAGTTGCTAGTTGTTCACTGTGGGTCTTTAGAACTTTAGATTTTAAACAATGACGCTGATGTGGAGTCACAACAGTTAAGTAAAACAAAAATCAATCTGCTTTCATGAGTTGTTAACAGTTCAGTTCACAATGTGATTTATTCTGTTTTCACTTGGTACTACTATTTCTTAAGTGTAGGTGCCATTCATGTCAATCTTTAAGCCTTTAATGGAGGAAACTGTCCAAGCAGCTCTCAGTGCCAAACACCACCAGACAGACGAGACAAACCAGTGAATCGTGCCTCTTAATACCAAGCCTCATCAGCTTTTATAACTTTTCCCTCTGCGGTTCACCCTCCACCCACTCTTGATCAGCCCCTCCAGCTTGGGCTTGTTGAGCACTTGTCTCTGTCTTATTCAGGACTTTTAATGACTTCTCTGCAGAGATGTATGGAGGATAATAATGAGGGCTGATAAAAAAGGAGAGCGGAGCCAGGCTATTTCATGTCTCAACACAAATGAGAACCTCTTGTCTTGCTGCCATCACCCTGCTGGCGAGTTGGAAAGCAGGTAATAACAACACTGTATAATTAACACATAAACACACAGAAATATGCTTCAGTTTTGTTCACTCTGCCAAAAATGCCGTCAGAATAAAACTGTCTCAGGCACTGCATTCCAGTGTAAACTTTGGCATCAGATTTTAAAATTTTGAAATACCTTTGAGCTTTATACTTGATTAAAAAGTCATTAGTGGCAGCTTTGGATCAACGACGTTTTGTTTGACTGTGTGTACACATACCTGTGTAACAAGCTGGCTCTCACTGCTGACAGGCCATTTTCAACTTGCTTTATGTCTGTTTCCCTGCTTACTGAAGTAAATGAGACATGTCTTTGTCTCTCAGTGTGGGAGTCCAGTTACACAGCATGTGATTACCCTCATTACGCAGGTTGTGTTTTTGTCTGTTTTTTTGTTAGTTTGCAGGATCTCTCAAAATAATTTTACTGATTTCAGTCAAATATATTAGGAAGCTCATGAGCGAGAACGAATTAATGAATGATGAATATTCCTAGCACAAGGTCCACTTACTAAGCTATTCCGGGAGCTTTTGACCATATTCCATGGCCTTATTCAGCAAAGGGAACTCTCCTTTTAGCTCTGTTTCGCTCCCTACCAGCTCCTGAGAGAAATGTCTGGCTCATTAGTCGTTAAATGCTACTACTATTTTATCCAGCTAGTTGCTAACTTTGTCATTTCATGCCAGGCAGGAAGAGTGAGTGAAAAGAAAAACAGTAAAGCTGTGTTCTATAAAACCATAACAATGAGTTTAAGAGGCTAAAACACTGTAGGGAAATAGAGAGTCATGGTGATAATTCTCTGTGGGTTCATATTTGAGTGACATCTTTACATATAAGTAGTTATGTGATGCATATTGAAATATTGATTATAAACAATTTCATATTTATCATTGAACATTTTGTCCAGTACTGTATTTTTCAACATTAAATGCCAGAAATTCCCACTTCACTCCAGTAGCTGGATGCTTGCTGTTGCCATTGTTTGCAATCATGAAGTTATTGAAGTCAGCTATCTGTAAAATGTTTCTAAATGCTGTGCATGTGCTACCAGGCTGATGAAGATGTTTTCTTAATTTGCTTGTGTTTTATCTATTTGCTGTGCTTTGAGTTCTCAGGGCCACCATAGCCGACAGAAGCCCCAGAAGACCAGAATGCAATGCAGCCGCAAAACTGTGTTTCACATTGAACGTGATGTTCCCTTTTTTCTCATCTTTCTCATCTCTACAGTACTTAAACAACCAACTTCTGAATGCAACAAAAACATTTGTTCTTTTAAAAGGCATTGTGGGAACAGAACATAATTTATCATCATAAAATATCACAGATTGAATGTATGTGAAAGCACAATAGTATTTAGGGTGGGATTCACCTTCACAGTACCTTAAACACACCCTCAGTTTGTTCCACTCTGTCTTTCCTGGTGCTCATTACAATAACACAAAGCGTATCTGTCATCGTCCTGATTTGGAGTTAATACGATGCTTCCTCCTTCATCTAGCGTGGCCTTCAGAGTGATGCCATGATGTCACCTCACTGTGTGTGTGTGTGTGTGTGTGTGTGTGTCTGCAGTGTGTGTATCACATGTGAACACACAAACACTACCTCCGCTACTTCCCTCCATTACCCCTCTTTAGACAGCGTAGCATTGTTTCCGAGCCAAAATTACCACATCAGCAGCCCTCCAAAATACACCCCACATCCTTCACTCTCAACCCAGCGACAATGAGGGAGAAATCCTTCTTTTGGAAGAGGAGAGAGGGGGATTTCTTCTCTCTCCAGTTCCCAGCGTGGTAATAACTGCCGTGAGAGCTTTACTAATTGGCCTCTTAATCTTTTGAAACGGCAGCGAATTAGAGGACCAGAGAGGGTGAGAGAGGTTGAAAATGAGAATGATAGTAGGAGAGAGAGAGAGAGAGAGGTTTACCCACAGCGGTTAACTGTGCTTATGTGTGTTACTGTATATACATGTGCATATGTGGTCTGTGAGTCTGTATGTGTGTGGTCGGTGTAAATGGATGTGTGTGTGAGTGTGTGTGTGGGTGTGACTATGTGGGTTTCTGTGTGCAAATGTTCATCTGTGTAAGCGTGGTAAGCATATGAGAAAGTATACATGTACGTGTGCATGTGTATGTGTGTGTGCATTCAGCATGTTAACATACTTCTGTGTGTCTGTACATTCGTAGGCTATGCATGTGCTTACAGTTAGTCTGTGTTCACTCTGTGTGTGTGCATGCATGTGCATGTTTGTGTGTGTGGTCAGCGGGGTTCACCAACACTTCCTGATGATTCATCAATGGAAAACACAATTAACTCCCTCACTGCCTCCCAATTATTTCCGCAAAGGAGATTAAAGTCTCCCAACTGAAACGATGAACAATTGGGGACGGACAAACGTTTGAATCAAATGTTCCACTGGTCAAATGATCCAGCGGCGCCTGTTTTCACACTCAGCAGTCATAGTTCCCTAACAGCTGTCAGCTGGGCAGACCTTGTCAATCCAAACAAGAGTGGTTTTGTTTTCTTG